ATTATATCCTAAACAATGCAGAAAATCCTCAGTGCCCTAAAAGTATTTAGGAGTGGCTTTTTCAGCCTCTTTGGAGGGAAAGATAGGAATAAAGATACCTATCAGTGGGGTAAAAAGTTCATGTTTGTCAGCTGTAGGAAAAATAAGAATTAAAAAACACTGTGTCAGTATTCAACTTGTACAGAAACTTCTTTCTTAACTGCTACATTTCTGGCTACAGTAAACCATTCCTGAGGCACATCTCACCCGAATGCCATGACCCGAAAGCTAAGACTTGCTAACTGCCCTACAATCACTGACCAACGGCAGCCCCTCTTTTCTGTACCCAACTTACAAGACAGGTGTAGCCTGTAAAGTATAATGGATGGCAGCTTATAGAAAGAGCCAGTAAGTGAGTAGCAGACAGGACAGGCAAGCATTACAGTACTGTGCTGGAAGCAGTCAAAACTAGCTCTACAAGCATCAAGCCCAAGTCCAAGATTTCTGAGACACGTCCACCCTTTCTTTGGTTCTATAGCAATTTCAACTCTGTCTTCTAACACCTATAGACCAAATGATACGTTTGACTACCAAAACAGCCTACACACAATAATGGAGGGAACAAACAGAAAAGAAAAGAAGAATTAGTTACAGAAATAAAAACACAGAATAGTTGGATGGCAGTCTAAAACATCACCCTACACATTCGTCTTCTGAGAAAATGTTTAATCTGGTAAATCCTTCTTCACTGTATTTATTCCAAGAGTCCAAGGCTCATTGCTCAAGGGAGGAAAAATGAAAATACTAAAAGATCAAAGTGTAAAATTTGTGTCTTTTTGAGGTCTTGAGTAGATGAAGACTGTACTCTTCAAAGCTTAAGTTTTCCTCTGGGAGAGGAAAATATTTTAAAATATTCAAAAACTTAGTTTGGAAAATTGAAAGATATGGATTGAAATAAAAGGCATAAAGCATATTCAAGAACAATAAACTGGGGTCACCTGGATGGCTCAGTCGGTTAACTGTCTAACTTCGGCTCAGGTCATGATCGCACAGTTTGTGAGTTCGAGCCCCAAGTCAGGCCCTGTGCTGACAGCTTGGAGCCTGGAGTCTGCTTCGGATTCTATGTTTCCCTCTCTCTCTGTCCCTCCCCCACTCATGTTCTCTCTCTCTAAAATAAAATAAAATAAAATAAAATAAAATAAAATAAAGTAAAATAAATTTAAAAACATTTTTAAAAGAATGATAAATTGTAATAAGAATTATAATAATGTTGAATTAGTTCTTATCCAAAGAAGTAAAAAGTTTGAAGAGCTGATAAGAGAAATGTGTAGTGGGTTGATGCAAAGGCAAGTACCACCCTTTCCTTTAGGGGGTGAGTCACCTGCTTGCTGGGTGGGGCTGCATGTGGAAATATTTGGTAATAGAAACTCAAGATAGGTCTAGAATTACCAGAGGAAACTACCTTTAAACTTTCCAGAGAGTAGCTCATGAGCTTGTAAACCTTGGAATGGAGTTGTGTGCCCCACACGGCACCTGATTTGTAGAGCAGCAACGACTGGGGGAAGTGTCTGGGGAGATGAACCCCCAGATAGGATCACTGACTGACATATACTAGAGTATCTCTGAGCCACACCCCAGAGATGAGATACACTTGCGAATGAGCCAAAGGACCCAGTAGAATCCAAATCTGGATGGAGAGGTTGCCAAATAGTATCAGAAACAGCTAGCTGCCGACAAAAAATCTTGTTTCCCTACTGTGGGGTGATGTACCCGCCGCAGGCTGCATTTCCCAGTCTCTCTGGCATATAGGTATGGCGATATGTCCAGATACTGCCAATGGAATATTAGCAAAAGTGGTTAAAAAGCACGACTACACGATACTTTCCCCTTCTTCTGGCTGGAAGTAAAGATTCCAAGGCCCAAGGGTGATGATCTCTGCATCCAGTTTGACAACCATAATGAATCTGCAAGGCGTACCTAGAATATATTACATTTTCACAGGAACTAGTAATATCAGTAGAACATATCACTGTGAACTGAAGAGTGTATTTGGGATATCAGATTTTTTAAGAAAGCATACTACTGTCCCAGCATACTGCTGAGCAAACTACTGTCATTAAACTGTGTGGCACTAACCACTAAATAAAAGGTACTGTTAGATATTTCGTTTGGTCTGCAGCCCCAAGAATGTAGTACTGAGACTCTAAGGACACTATGAACCAAGAAAGTTTGGAAGCCTCCGCCTCAGGGAATGCTGGGATCACAAGATGAAAGGAAGCTGGGTTTCTAAATTTCTTTTTCCTTTTTTTTTTTTTTTTGAGAGAGAGAGAGAGAGTGAGAGAGTGAGAGCAGGGGAGGGGCAGAGGGAGAGAATCTTAAGCAGACTCCACACTCAGCACTGAGCCCGGCACAGGACTCCATCCCATGACCATGAGTGAGATCATGACCTGAGCCGAAGTCAAGAGTTGGACGCTTAACTGACTGAGCCACCTAGGCGCGCTTGGGTTTCTAACTTTCTAAATGAAAGAAAGCCACATATAAATTAAGAACTCCCACACTGAACTGGGATATGAGCCACACATAAACTTCTGTTGTATTAACCCATTGAACTTTTGGAGTTTATTTGTCATAGTAGCTAGCATGACCCTAGCTAATACCCAGAGTACGTAAGAATCTAGACTCAAAGCCAAGAGCCACAGATAAAGGATCAGAAGAGACAAGCCATATCTCAGTGGAGACCACTAAGCCAAGAGGATGACTCACAGAGCAGATGCCTCTTACCCAATATCAAGCCCATGGGTAAGGTGCCTGAGATTAATGTCAAGGAAATGGGGGAAGGATACAGAGGAGGCAAAGGATACTAAGGACTTTGTCCAAATGAGACTGACGAACCCAAAATTTGACATCTTAAAAGCTCTACCATCAGTGGATGTGTTTGAATGCTAAGTTATATTATAAATATATTATAAAAAGAAGTAAATTTACATTGTGTGCATTTCATTCTGGAACTGTAACATTTTGAATCCATCATACACGTGTTAGAGCAAGGAAAGAAATACAGAGGTCACCATCTCTGTTCCTGTAACTGGTCACCTAGCGGGGAGAGGAGCTTTAGTCCCTGGCGGTGCTGCCTAGGCGATGTGACAGCACATTCAGTTAAGCATTTCAGTAGAACAGGGTGACACCAGGGACTCCCGCTTCTCCTGCTCCCTCCTCCTACTCTGTAGCTGTATTTCCACTTCACTGTCAGGCTCAACCGCGATAACCAGCACAATAATCCCGTTCGTGCCCCCCACCCCCTTCTTTTCCCCAGGGAAGCCCAGTGAAGACCAAGCAGCAATTTCAAATCCCAGCTCAACGAAGGTATTATTGTGTCTCTTGGTGGAAACATGCCTCCTCACTTGCTCACTGAAACTTCTAAACCATCTGGATTCCCAGATTCAGGAAAAAGTAGTTCTAGGAATAAGGTCATGGCTGGTGAGTAGCCCCAAACCACACATGTCTATTAGAAAAGTGATAATGACATTCCATAGTCAACATCTTCAGTGCTCTTTCTCTTCTCAGCTTTGGTGTGAGTTTTACTGCTCATAGCCCTCCCAGGTAAGTAACACTGCCACTTTAAGGAAGGCTAAGATTTAGCATCATCCAATCCAGTGATTCTCAACTGGGGCAGTCTTGCCCCTTAAAGGAACTTTGGCAGTTGGTCTGGAGTCATTTGAGATGGTGACAAGTTGGAGGGAGGGGTGGTGCTGGCATTCAGTGCATACTGGCCAGGGGATGCACAGGACAACCCCCAACAGCAAAGAATCGTATGGTCCAAAATGTCACAGCGCTGAGGTCGAGAAACCCCGATTCAATTAATTTATTTGCATAATTTGCTTCCCCCTCAACTAGAATGCAAGCTTTGTGAGAGCAGGGACTTTGTCTGCCTTGTTTATTGCTCTATGTCTGGAACATGGAAGTCAACAGGTGTTTGATGACTACCTGTGAGATGAATGGGTGCCTCGTAGCTCACACGAGGTATTTTTGTATATGTGATCGCATCCAAACACTCGGCTCCTTGCCCTGGAAGGGTTAGTAAAGGGAAGGAAGGTGGTAGAGGGTAGCATGACTCAAATATCTGGGGAGGCACCGCTTCTTTGAATGTCTCATGTAGCTCTCTTACCAACACGGTGCCGCCAAAATCCTCACAATTTGCCTTCGCTTTAATTTTCTGACTTGAAGAAAAACGCGCACTTTTTACAACGTCCTCGATTCCTTCGTTCGTTAAGTGACATTATCATCTAAGCACTTTCGTTTGCTGTCACCAAACGAAATGATGGCCTAGGACCTATGTTCAACGATTTGCACAGAAACGGGCTGTAATTGTTCTGCATCTTTTCTAACCGCTACAAATGTATCCCCCCCTCTAAGAAAGGTGCTTCGTGTCCTCCCTTCCCATCTCCCCTTGACACCTCAGTTAAGCTTTCGAGAAAGACCAAGAGAGGACAGTGGCGGGCCTAACCCCCTTCCCCTCCGCTCTGTAGTGGCTTGTCCCCTTCCCGGGTTCCCACACTGTACCTTAACCATCGCTCCATTACAGCACTAACGGCAACTCCCAGCACCTGTTTATTTATAGGGCTTTGTCCCTTCCCGTCTGCGGTGGGACACGCTCTTGACGTCTGTACATCCCTGGCACCTGGCACACAACATGGGCTCCACAAATGCTTATGGAAGAAATACAGTGCATTTCGCCTACTTCACAATGTCACCTAGGGCACCCTTTGCCAACTTCACAATGTCACCCAAGGCATAGTTTTGCCTACTTCACAATGTCAACGGACCCAGCACAGAACTGGGACCTTCCCAGGGGCTCGGGAATAAACCGAGTCTCAGCCCTGTCTGAATCGCATTCTGGTGGTGGCTCCAGCCAATGAAGAGAACGGCCAAGGATCCCAGGTCCGGGGGTGGCTGCAGCAAACGGGTTCAGGTTAAGCAGCCCGGGACCGAGGGGCACTAATCACTGAGGGAGAAGGCGACCTGTACCGACCACTGCAGAACGGCACAGCAGCAGAGCTGCGTGTAGGCAGGGGCATGCAAGTCACCACCGCCCAGGGTGCCTCATCGCCGCTGCCACGGACGAGTGGCTGACCCTGGCGACAGAGGCTAGCGGCGCTGATGTGAACTGGTTTGTTCAGACCCTGCTCGGGCCGCAATACTGCCCGACGAGCGCAGAGAAAGCGGCACGTACCCTCTCCAGGTCCCACAAGCGCCGCTGCGGAGCGTGCCCAGCCCGGCCCACAGGGTGCTAGAGGGTCAGAAAGGACCCGCCTTTCCCAGGCCGGGGCCCGCCGGGGCGAAGGTTGTTCCCAAGGCCACGTGAGGTTTCCTCGCCCCTAAAAAGGCCCACGCAGGCAGGGCTAATGGAAGAGGGAAGTTGAGGACGTCCCGACCTCGGAGACGCGGCGCCCTGCAGCCGGCCCAAGAGCCGCTCCCGCGACAGCCGCCTCGTCCCGCCCGAGCGATGGCCCCCCGCAGCCGGGACGGGCGCCTCGGGCTGCCCGCGCCGCCGCCGCCGCCGCCGCCGCCGCTGCTGCTGCTGCTGCTGCTGGCCGCCGCGGTGCCACCGAGCCTGGCAGGTGAGCCGCGCGCGACCGAGGACCCGAGGACCCCGGGGGCGGGCGTCCGGGAGAGGCGCCGGCGTTACCGCGCTGCGCGCGCCGCCGCCCCGCGCGCTCCCGCCCGCGCCCGGGCTCGGCCAAGTTGACGGCCGGCGCGCGTCTGGGTTCCGGGCGGACGCCGCGGGGCGGGGGGGTCGGGCCTGGCCGGCTCCAGCGCCGCCGCAGCTCGGGACGGCCTCCGAGAAGGGCGCGGGGTGCGCTCCTGCGAACTTAAGAACTGTTGGCCGGAATGCCTGGCCCATAAATCAGTGCACTGCTGCGCGCCACTTGGCTCGCCGAGCCTCTCTCCACGAGTCCTAAAAGAACATCTAAATATATTTATGCGCATCTTAAAGGTCTGGTTCCAGGCTGCCTGCTTTTCTTCTTAACTGCCAGTGACTTTGGCTTAAAATAAGCGCAACCCCGTATCGTGAGCTTGCCATGTGCCAGGCAGTGTGCTAAAGGGTCTTTCGTATAATGCTTACTATAACCCTAAATAGGATTTGTTACCCTCATTTTACAGAACATTTGAAATTGAGAGAAATTGAGCACGGGGTCACACGGTGTGATGGTTAGCACTCTCGCTCTGAAATTAGAGAAATTCAGTAGTTTGGATTAAGATACACAGCGAGTGAAGTCATTGCTGAGTTGACAAAGGGCATTTACTTAAATACTCCCCTCTTTGTAAAGCAGGCTTTATCCTTACAGATGTTGACACCAATCTATATCCTTTGCGGCAGAACAAAAACAAAAAAACTCCTGGATTTATCAGTTTTCTTCCCAATGGATAAGACCCAAATTAACCATAGAAACTTGAAAGACTTCAACAGTAATATTAAGAAAGGATTAAGTTTATTTCATAAGCCCTTTTCTGTGCTGACCTTGTGCAAGCACAGGGTGGGGTTCAGGAGAGCAAACCCCTTCCCAAGTGAGTGTACTGATTCTTATTACACCACCTTCCATCGACAAGTAACTGCAATCACCAGATTTCAAGGTCTTTGCTTTCACAACTTGCCCACTTACCACTCTTAAATCTTTCCGGTCTTTTAAACTGCCTGGGCCTCTGGAGTCAACAGCCATGCACCCCCGTGGCTCCTGACCCCTGATTTACCTGCACATTCTATTTCTTGCCTGGGCTCCAGAGGTGGCGCTGGTGCCCAGGAAGATGGCTCATTCAGACATGCCTGGGACAGGCTAGAAAGTGCTCCAGAAACGGAAATGACTTTTTGTGACCAGAATAAGTGAAACCCTTCTTAACTTTTCTGTTCCTCTGGATTGTTCGGGTTGTTTTAAGTGTTCGTCAGATGGAGGGAACAGCCCGAGGAGTCAGGTGGAGATCCTGTTTTTCTGAAGATGAGGCACTGTTTATTCAAGAAGGTATCACCTGACAAGAAACAGCTGTTTAAACGTCAGTTCGGCTGAAGCCAGGCCAGTCTGGTCAGGAGTCAAGGCACAGTGAGGGTGTTTCTGCGGCCGCTGATCCTGACAGACGGTGCCTGGCAGTCGGGAAAAGACTTCTTACCCTGGTCTTGGCGAACAGCTGGTGATGCCCACGCTGATTACTTCAAACAGATGTGTTTCCTGTGTTCCACCCATAGTAACCTATTTTCCAGGGCAACGTTTCTGCTACCTCTTGCTTGTCATGTTTTCTCTGAAGTGCCCAGCTCAGTACTCTGAAATTGATGAGTATCCAACCCACACTAAAGGGATTGCATTTCCATCTCCCTGGAATGATTTGGATATCTACCAATGTGTACCTATTAATCCGAAAATGTCCTTAATTTTTAAAGCTTACTTTGTAGCTTCATTCCTACAGAAATATTGGCAAACAACTGCACATTCATCTTTGCCTGTCTTTCAAACTATTACACACTTCAGACATTTAATAGCACCGCCTTTATCCTTTCAGATTGAAAAGCCCCATAATTGTTTTTAGGAATGTCTAAGAAGCACCTGGGTGGTTCAGTCGGTTAAGCATCCGACTTCGGCTCAGGTCATGATCTCGTGGTTCATGAGTTCGAGCCCCACATTGGGCTTTTGACTGTCAGCTAAGAGCCCGCTTCAGATCCTCTGTCTCTGTCTCTCTCTCCGCCTCTCCCCCACTCATGCTTTCTTTCTCTTTCTCTCTCAAAAATAAACATTTAAATAAAAAGGAATGTCTTACATAATTTTTCTAAGTGGTGTGTGTAGTGAAGTCACATCACCAGGGAAAGAGATGGGTTGGTTGCCGAGAGACTTAGAAGTTGGCATGTGCCTTGGTAAAACTGGTTCCAAATCTGGCCCCTGGACTGGCACGGCTACATTCTAGAAATGCGTTCTCTCCTGTGCTCTAGAGCTCATCAGATACAAAGAAGCTGATTCACCCTGATATACACAGAAGTCTATTCACCAAAATACCAATAATGAAGTTTGAGCAGATTGCCCCCGCCGCTTTCTTGTAATCACATTACACCAGATAGATAATATCAGGGATTCTCAGCCTGAAGGCCTGATTGATCTGCTTCCTGATAGGACTGGGGCTTCCATTAGCCTAGGAGTGCTCATCAAGTAGACAACTGCCGGGTACAGCTGGCCCTTGACTCTGGGACCTGCCTTTTCCACACTTTCATGGCCCACCAGTTGCCCACCGGAGACCAGCCCATTGCCCCTCAGGATAGGCTAATACCTTTACGTGCGTGTGGGGGATTTGCCGTCGTGTGAGCCGTTCAGTCTCCTTAAGGTGCCTTGGTAGATCTTTGGTTAAGGCTATTCTCAGTTGACCCTTTAACTCGGAGGGCCTTCTTATTTCCAAATTCACTTGAGGGAGTTGCTCCATGTGTTCATTCTTTCGGTGAGAGTTCATTTTTGGAAGTGTAATATTAGAGAGGTTGAATGGAATTCTAGAAGCAGAAACCACGGAGCCAGACTGCCTGTGTTTCAGCCCTGGCTCCAATACTTGCCGTGTGACCTTCAGCCAGTTAGCTACTATCTCTATGCTTCAATTTCCTCATCTGTAACGTGGGTATTGGAGTGTCTGTCTCATAAGGTGGTTGTGCGGAACAGCGCCCCCTAACAGTGGGGGATGTATAACTGAGTGACCGTTATTATTGGCCACTGGAGTTGCGCTTCTCTGGAAAGTCTTCATGGATCTTTTGATAAAACAGCCAGGATTGCAGATGATAATCTACGTGCTGTAAAGTAATAACTTGTTATAAAAGCAGGTTTTTTTCCTTAACCATCGTCCAACATTTCAGGGATTTGAGTACACGCCAGCTCGTTAAGCAGGTGCTGCAGAAAAGTGAGCAGTGCCCTCCTAGGTCTCTTTCCTGGGTTATAACTGATTGATTGAAATCACCTTGATTTTTCTAAATGCAATATTATTAATCATGATTTAATCATGAATCAAGAATTTGCCAACTCTTTTTGGTCTTTCTGAGCCTTATTAATCTCCCTACAGCTCTTCCCCATTGTCGTGGGGTTTCAGACTCAAAAGAAGTCACTGCTCTTGGTAAACTTGAATATTTTCTTGTGCTCTCTCTCTATCAGTTTGCTTATAAAAATGTGTACAACATAAGTTCCAGAGCAACTTCTGGGGAAAGTGCCCATTCGTCTTTATTGTTAAAATTTGTTTCCTGGTCCTTCTGGAAATGCGAATCTGATTGCAAAGATCAAAATTTTTCTCCAAAAGAAAGTGTAAGAGGATCCTCCTTCAGTCTTTAAATTGAGGTAGAACATTTTCTTTTTAAAAAGAAGACTTTTCATAATAGGTAAGCTATGACTCATGTAAACTCCAGCTTGGCCTTTTCTTCTGATGGGCAAAACAGAAATTTTTGTTTTCACACTTTTTTTAGGCACTATTTTTACTTTTGTCACCTGTTATCTTTTAGGGGTTTTTGGGTGGGGGCAGAAGATTCTAAATCATAAAGCATTAACTATTAAGATAACAAAAGAGGTAGTAGCACCAAAACCAGAATGAATCTCAAAGGATTTATTTTGTTCAACTTTTTAAGTTTTTTTAAATGCACTTGTGTTTCATCTTTAAAAAAAAAAAAAAGGAGTAAATTCCAGTTGTTCCTACAACTTATATTTCACAATCACTTGAAAATTGCACTTTACCTAGCCTCCTGGGGCACCTGGATGGCTCAGTTGGTTAAGTATCCAACTCGTTATTTTGGCTCAAGTTATGATCTCAAAGTTTGTGAGATCGAGCCTCACATCAGGCTCTGTGCTGACAGCGTGGAGCCTGCTTGAGAGTCTCTCTCTTTCTCTCTCTCTCTCTCTCCCTTTGCCCCCCCCCCCAAAATAAATGGATAAAAATTTTTTAAAAAGATGTTTCTGGAAAATTTACTAACGTTATTGTGTTGTTTCTTTGTACTGCTGCAAAACAGGAACTTATTAATGCAGTAAAAGATGAAACTAAGAGAGGTAGTGAAATTATGAGGAAACTTTAATCTAAAACTTGAAACTCTGTACAAATGAAAGATATCTTGTTACAGTCTTCCAGGGGGAAATTGTGAAAGTCTCTTGATTCAAGGCTTGCTCTGAAATCTGTCCGTTAGCCTTGCAAATGCAGTGAAAATCCCAGCACATGAGGTAGTGGCGAGTTGTTGAAGCCCACACTGGCAAACCTAAGATCCCAAAATAATTAAATTCTAATTCACAATTAGAATTAATGTACAGAGACTCAATATCAGCTTGTCTCCTTACCAGCTAATGTGAAAGTGTGACCTCCCCAGCTAGTGGGAAAGTTTGGGATGGAGGCGGTCACATAATCAATAGAACACTTTGTTAGGCTCAATGGAGTCAATACAATGAAGTAACAGATACCACCTCTGATCCTCAAGGAGCTTGTAATTAAAGAGTTTGAACCAAATTCACATAAATGATCTAGATGAGGAGTGAGCTAAGGGTGCAGAATCAGAAGGCGGCAAAGTTGATTAGACTTTTAGCAAGAATTCTGATTTAAGCTAGCAGTAAAGAATGGGTACCTTCCAAGGGGATGCAGGAAAGGGGTCATTCCAGAGCCAGGCAAGTGTCCAGCACTTTTCTACATTAGCGTTGTTTCTTTGACTCTATTTTTTTAAATGTTTATTTATTTTTGGGGAGAGAGAGAGAGAGAGAGCCGGGGAGAGGTAGAGAGAGAGAGAGCCGGGGAGAGGTAGAGATAGAGGGAGACACAGAATCTGAAGCAGGCTCCAGGCTCCGAGGTGTCAGCACAGAGCCTGACGCGAGGCTCAAAGTTAGAAACTGTGAGATCATGACCTGAGCTGAAGTAGGATGCTTAACTGACTGAGCCACCCAGGCACCCCTGACACTATTTTTTAAAGCACTATCTCTCCCTCTCTACTTACCTAATATATTGGGCACATTATGCATTGCCCCTGAAACCTTCTCACTGCTCTTTATTCGAGCTTCTGCAGCTGTAATACAAGGTTTGTCCCTCTAGCCACCCTGTAGGGGTTCCTCGCTCTCTACCTCAGAGCTTCTCTTGCGTGGTAACCACTTAGCACTGGAGCATCTGCAAACCAGGGAAGATGGATTTAACACCTCATGGGGCAACTTTGGCCAGCACAGAATGGGAGCAGGTGGTTACATGCTCCTCCTTCCGTCCCTGGGATGGGTCGTTAGGAGCTTATCTTACACCGCTGTTCGGGCCATCTCAGATCTCATCTTTGAATTAGCTTTGCCTCCTTCCTGGCCTCATTTTCCCCTTTCCCCATTCCTGTTCCCAGGGAGCACTTTCCCAAAGTAGTCCTCCATCCAGCACGAGTCCCAGGCTCTGATTTCTGCCGAGAGTGAGAGCTGAACCACATACAATTTTGCTTCCTGAAGGTTGTTTATTCATGAATCAGTTATTTTCTTAGTGATTCTGTTGAAGAGCCAAATCAAATCTAAAATCCAGACATCAGTTTACTGAGCCCTTTCCAAGGAGGGAGGTAGGGAAGTACACTGCCCAGGTACACCAAGAGATACTGAGAGAGCATGGTCAATGTACATAAAGGAGCAAAACACTTCAACTACCAGAGTCAAAACTGTTAGTGAAGCTCAATCTGAATGGCTGAAGTTGCGATCTTAATTTTTAAACTATTTTCTCTCACATATTTTGCATCTTTTCTCCCAGTTCTTCCTCCTTTTCTCTACCTAACTTACTGAATATATCAGGTAAAATTGCATTGCTCTGGGTTGAAAACCACTTACTCTGTCATGAGGGGGAAATTAGGTTCCAAATATGGGAGAGGGTGACTTAAGCCGCTTATGACTATTTTAAAAATTCTAAGACAGGGTTAGGATTTTTTTTTCCAACCAAGAACAACTCATAGAAAATATTAGAATACTCATGTTAATAAATTTCATTTGAGCGTTTGGGTTTTTATGTGCAGAGAAATGTAAAAATGAGACTTCTTCATTTTCATCTTATAGAAGAAAAATGCCTTGTTTTTATGAAGTAATGCTCCCATTCATTCAACAGATATTTATCAAATGTGTTGACTTTGAAGATGTTGCTGTTAAAAAATTTTAAATCTCATTTCCCTTTTAACAACTCTAGGGTGAATATCAACAGATGGCACTTGCCCCTTGGGTGTCTGAACCATCCCCAAACCCCTTCCCTGAGCTTGAAGGCATAATGACTTACTTTGACTAGCTTCCGTGAATGTCCTGATAAACTTCACTTCCATTTTAAGAACACATGCAATTAAACTAGACTCACCCAAGAAACAAGTATTGTGCCAGGTATAGCTCTCCCACGATATACAGCACTAAGCAGGACCAGACTCTGTCTTCACAGACTTGGTATAAAGCTAATTTGGGATTAGAAGAATATTTTTGTACCTTTTTGCCACTAATTATCTTTTTCACATCTGCTTCCCGACATGGAGATGTTTAAAAAAAAAAAAAAATAGACTGGTGGCTCAGTCATTTGGGCATCCGCTTTTTGCTTTTACCTCCGGTCATGATCTCAAAGTTCCTGAGTTCCAGCCCTGCATTGGGGTCTGTGCTGACAGTGTGGAGTGTGTTTGGGATTCTCTCTCTCTCTCTCTCTCTCTTTCTCTCTCCCTCTCTCTCTTTGCCCCCCCCCAAAATAAATAAATAAACTTAAATAAAATAAAATAAAAATTTTTTAATTGAAAAAAATAGAAAATTGCAATGGCTTAAACTACAAAAGGATTTAATTGGGGCACCTGGGTGGCTCAATCCATTGAGTGTCTGACTCTTGATTTTGGCTCAGGTCATGATCCAAGGGTCGTGGTATCAAGCCCCACACCAGGCTCCATGCTGAGCGTGGAGCCTACTTAATATTCTCCCTCTCTTTCTCTATCTCCCTCTATCTCTGTAACCCACTTCTCACTCTAAAAAAATAATTAAACTAAACTAAATAAAACTATTAAAGGATTTAAGAAAATCCGAAAGTAGCACGATGCCAGGTAAACCAGAAAGAGTTGATTCAAGGAGGGAACCTTGAGGAAGGGAAGCCATCATGTAGGGGTGGAGTATAAAACTTAGATTCTGGCTAGACTATCAAAACATGTGCTAAATCAGTCAGGTTGTTAGCAGTAAATTTTTTACTACTGAATTCTCTTAAGGGAAGAGGTTTCTTTCAAGCATGGAGGCGCACTAGTATCAAAAAAAAAAAAAAAAAAAAAAGCACAGATTTGCAGAAGTTTATTCTTTGTGGTCAGGAAGTTACAGAGTACCTGCTATAGCGAACACACAGCCCGTGAGTGCTTGGGCAGGGAGCAAGCCAAGTTTATGTCCCAAGGGGCTGCTGGAATGGAAGGTGAAGTTAGGGAAGGCTGCAGTGGGCATTCGATGAGAACTACTGAGGTTTTAGAGAAAGGGAATAAAGCTAAAAGCATGCCACGTGCATGGAACAGAAAGGGAAGAGCCTGGCAAGGCTTACTCACCTTCCCTCTTCCCTTTACAGTTTCTGTTTTTGTCTCTGCCCCTGCTGCAGAGTTTGTGGCTGATTTTATGTGGCTTGCTTTCTTCACATTCCTACAAGACTCACTGGAGGGGAGAGTGGAAGAGAAGGTGTGAGAAAAGCTAGGGAAAGGCTGAGGCCATGGCACTGTGATTGAAAATCAACCTGGAAAACATATTTATTGCATTTGGTAGGGAAAGAAGGGAAGTTGCTACGGATGCCAGCCACAGTTGTCAAGTTGTGGCCAGTCGGCTTCATTAATAATTAGACTCTTGTCACCGAGAGTCTCTTAACAAAGTATTGTGACCCTACTTATGCTTATTAATGTCATTATTGCCACTGGACTATTTTTTTTAATTTGAGAGAGAGAAGGAGAGTACACACAAGGCAGAGGGGCAGAGGGAGAGAGAGAGAGAGAGAGAGGGAGAGAGAGAATCTTAAGCAGGCTCCATGCTCAGTGCAGAGCCAGACACAGGCTTCAATCCCACAACCCTGGGATCATGATCTTTTAAAAAATTTTTTTTAATGTTAATATATTTTGAAGGAGAGAGAGACAGAGTGCAAGCGGAGATGGGGGGGCACGGCAGAGAGAGAGGGAGGCACAGATCTGAAGCAGGCTCCAGGCGCTGAGCTGTCAGCACAGAGCCCAATGGCGGAATTCGAGCCCACAAACTGTGAGATTATGACCTGAGCTGAGTCAGACACTTAACCGACTGAGCCGCCCAGGCGCCCCCTGGGATCACGATCTTAACCGAAATCAAGACTCAGATGCTCAACTGACTGAACCACACAGGTGTCACAACCTTTAGCCATTTTTAAAGAAAGCCTACAAGGGGCGCCTGGATGGCTCACTCAGTTGAGCATCTGACTCTTGATTTCAGCTCAGGTCATGATCTCACAGTTCATGGGTTTGAGCCCCAATTAGGTTCTGCACTAATAGCACAGAGCCTGCTTGGAATTCTCTCTCAAAAATAAATAAGTAAACAAAAATAAAGCAAGCAAGCCCACCATTATGGGCATGACTTCACTCAGAAGTAAAATGACTTCCCTGCTAAGGATTGTTCTTCAGGGTCATTATCAGCATTAGCTTCTAAGCCTGGCCAGGTCCCAGCCAATCACCCAGCCCCCTTGGAACAAGATGCTATGATACTTTAGTTTTAAGATTATACTTTCAGCACTCATTTGATAGATAGTCTTTGCATCAGAAAATAAATAAAGTGTTGAGTCCATTTTTAATGTTGACAACAAAAAACTTTACGCAAACATTTAATCTGACCTTTCTAGTATCTTAACCACCAAAAACACAGTATGTCCGAAACTAAACTCATATTCCCTCCCAGGCCTAGTCCCCACCTGCTCCCTCTCTCAGTGAGTGATACAACATCCATCCACTGGGTCTCAGTCTAGAATCTGAGAGACATTCTAGCCTCTTCCCATCTCTTTGAAGGCCTGAATATAAAGTTGGTCTTTAACCTGAGCAGCTGTGTTTCTTAGGTCAAGAAACAAAGGCATTACATACCATTTCCTTTCTACATTTCTTTTTTCTTTTTCCTTTTCTTCCTAAGTCTCCTTTCCTTTCACACATACTTACTGAGTATCTGCTAGAGGCTAAGCACTATACTCATGCTGAGTCTTTGGCCGTGAGGAGTTCCTAGGCTAGAAGCCGCTGAAGACATGTGAGTTACGGTGCAATGAGATAGGCCCAAAGAAGATGTACCTACAAGCAAGTTACACTGAGCTTATGGAGCAAGTCAGCCTCCACAAAGTGGGTACTGCTTCCTGCATCTTCAGTAGCAATTCTGAAATTGCCACATGGTTAACAAGGGAGCAACTCTCTGGCAGAGGAAACAGCATATGCAAAGTGAGAGGTGTTGAACCAGCTAATGGCAGGTTGGACCGTGGTATATGATGGCTTCCCAATCACCAAGTGTACGGGGTAGTGGATGCAGCTGCATAGGTGGGCAGAAACCAGATCATGAAGGTCAAGAGTATAAGCTAAAGAACTTTGTTTGTAGGAAATGGAAGTCACTGACGACTTTTGGTAGGCAAGTAAACAAATCAGGTTTGCACTGGCCAAGGTCACTCTGGCAGAGTAGGAACAATGAATGACAGGTTCAGTGGGACCTTGAAAAAGGCCTTTTTTATAGTTAGGGCTAGTTGTGATACCCGAAGTAACATTGAAAGGTAGAGCTGCAGGAGGAAGAGACTGGAGGAAGAGATACTTAGGAGGCTTTGATTCCACCTGAGTTTGCAGAAGAGAAAGGAGGCCTGGATGGGCTTGTGTCTCAGGTGGAAAGATCACAGAGATAGAAAGTAGGAGGTGGGGGATGGGTGAGAGAGAATGTGAGTTCTGTTTTGGATATTTTGAATTTCTTTTGCTTATGGACCCATCCAACTGATGTTATCAAGTGTGCTGTTGGGCGTACAAGATAAAGAAAACCCCAGGGGGAGGAAGGTAAAAGCAGGCAGAGGAGGAGGAGGTTCGGGAGATTCATGCTGTCCCAGATGCATGGGAGGAAAGAGTTTTAAGAATAAGTGGTCACCAGGGCCAAACTCTTTCAGCAGCTCATGTGACATTAAGACTCAAGGATGCCATTCGTGACAGAGCAGTGTCAGTCGCATGGTGGGGATGGATGCCGGTCTGCAGCAGGCTAAAGCGAGGAAGATGAGGAAGTGGTGTGTGAGTGTGTGCCTCTTTCTACGGGGTGAGGTCTGGAAATGAGCCAGTTGTATTCACTGCTCTCTCACCATATTTCGCACAGCCCAGAACACAGCATGCCCTAGAATATTTGGAATAATTTCGTGAAGGGAGTGAGAGACTCTGGCAATGGCCAGATCTGGTCCCAGGATCCAAAGAGATCTTCTGTGATTGGTTTGCCCTTAGCCATGAGACAACAGAGCACATCAGTACACTTAGGTGGGAGGAGCCATTGCAGGAAGAGAGCTTTAGGGTACAGGAGCAGGAAGACACAGGAGGGAACAAAGTTCCCAAAGAAAGTACGAGGGGTCGATCCATAGCATGGGTAGAGGGAGTGGGGTGAGCCAGGAGGAAGAGATTGCTACAGGATGTGTCAGGATAAATTCACAAAAATTATCAAGAACTTGAGAGGCTCACAGGCCGTAGTTTGTTGTTTCTTTCCTGCAAAATGGGAATCTAATGTCACGTGTGAAGAATTAGGCAAAGGACATACAATAAGGAGCCTGAGAATATGGATGCTTTGGTACAACTGCTGGGGGAAGCAAAGATGTTGCAGACCAAGTACATGGACCCTACCCTTGGCTGAAGTAAGAGGTGGGCAAGAGCCCCAGCCCTGGCCTTGCCCAGAATCCCATCTCTAAGAATGAAGCATTTAGACTCACCTTTCCAATGCTCTCATTACTTCCCCCCACCTTTGACCCAGTTCTCCGTGCTCTGAGCTCATCCCCCTCCCTGCCCCCATCAGGCTCTGGTTTTTCCCCACTTGTAACAAGAGCAACTATAGGGGCAGATTTCCCGATTCTCACAGAGTGGAATTCCTTAAAAGCAAATATGTTGGAATCCTTGGTTACATGGAAAAAATGTATTCACAAATCAGCTAAATGGCATCCTATTTTTATTGCCTTTTCTTTTCTTCCAGAAGTCTACTATGCAACTGCGTACTGGATGCCTGCTGAAAAGACAGTACAAGTCAAAAACGTACTGGACAGGAACGGGGACGCCTGTGGCTTTTACAATGACTCTGTGAAAACCACAGGCTGGGGCATCCTGGAAATCAAAGCGGGGTATGGTTCTCAGGCCCTGAGCAATGAGATCGTCATGTTTGTGGCCGGCTTTTTGGAGGGCTACCTCACTGCCCCGTAAGTACTCCAGTCATGGTGGAGAACTACCTGGCAACCTCTGTCGTTTTCTTTGTCCACCAGTGGCTCTTGTCTTCCTGACATGGGACATTAGAACTGGAAAGTAGCTGATAGAAACATGATCAGAATTACATTTGCCCCCCCTAATCAGGACCTGCCTAGAAGGAACAAAGCCCCCATTGAGGCATTCTTCAATTCTCATGGCACTTAAAGTCTTTCCTTTCCATGAAACTATTTTATTTTTAAGTGTTTTTTGGTTTTTGGTTTTTATTGAGAGAGAGAGAGAAAGCAAGCGTGTGCACGAGCGGGGAAGGAGCAGCAAGGGGGGGAGAGGAGATCCAAGGCGGGCTCCATGGTGACAGCAGAAAGCCCCATGTGCGGCTCGAACTCACAAACCCAAGATCATGACCTGAGGACCGTGAAATTGTGACCTGAGTCAGAGTCGGATGCTTAACTGACTGAGCCACCCAGGAAACCCTTGTGAAACTATTTTAAAATACAACTAAGCCATTTTATTCTACTGGTCATTTATTGTTTGTAGAAGGAAAATGATAGACAGAGTGGCTGAGAAGCACCAAACACGGAAGATTAGTTCAATTTAAATATAAGAGCATTTTAAAAACAGTCATAAAACAATACTTTCAAGTGGGCAAAGATTTCAAATTAAAATTCTGATGCCTAATATAAATATCCCTTCCCGTTCTATTGTTAATAATTCTCACATCTTTCCCTTGTCTTGTGAAAATAACAAGGATGTAGTTAATAATAATGCAATCAGGGCACATCCTTTTCAGAGAGAAGCTCTTTAAGGAAAGGAAGGTCACAACTCATTTAATCAAGCCTCATCCTTTCTTTGATATAATAAGTGTCTTGATGATTTGGCTTTCTTCTTTTATTCTCTGTGACCTAGACTGTCGAGGGCAGTTTAACCAAACCCCATTTTGTGTCATTGTGCCTGAGTAAGGCACGTTAGTAAGTGCAGTGCCAATCTTAACCTGATTCTAAGTACTGGAGATTATATCAAATGTTGAATAACTAGTAACTGTGCTCTGGTCCCTCTTTTTTAATGTACTAGAAATTCCTCTTTTTCTTCGTTACCAAAATTTTGTTACTCTACCATACAAGTTCCCTTAATGGTATACTACTCAGAGATATATAAAACTTCATATATAGATTAAGATTGTTTAAAACTGTGTGTATAAACTCGTGTGTGTGTGTGTGTGTATGTGTGTGTGTGTGTGTTTGTGTATTTAACTTTTCATCCTTCTCTTCAAATCTGTATTTACTGTGTATCCACTCATTCTGATTGGGTGATTGATACTAGATTGCAAGTTTGGAGAAGTAATTTGGGCTGAAGTTGAGTGACTATAAATACATTAGGTTAGGGGGTCCTGGGTGGCTCAGTAGGTTAAGCTTCTGACTCTTGATTTCAGCTCAGATCATGATCTCGCGGTTAATGAGATAAAGCCCCGCACTGGGCTCCGTGCTGACTCTCTCCCTCTCTCTCTGCCCCTCTTCCACTTGCACATGGTCTCACACTCTCTCAAAAATAAATAAATTTTCAAACATAATAAATAATAACCACATTAAGTCCTGAGTGGTAGACATCAGGGGCTTGGAAGAGAAACTGATTTGAGGGAGCAGCTCCAATCCGAGGCTCCAATCTGAGCAGCCCCAAGCAGAAGCAGGTGTTGCACGGGTCTGGGGGCCACAGCAGGAGCTCAGGGAGCTCAGCCGAAGGCTTCTGACACGGGAGGAACAGCCGATATTCTTGTGTCTCAGGAAACATAAGTTTTAGCATCTCACTTCTGGGAGTGACCTTATCATTTTACCCTTATTCCTAATATAAAGCAGTGACCTATCCTTGGGTCCCTTTATCCGCTGACGAAGAAAATCCAGAGAATATGGGTTCATATCCATTCTATTTAGTAACTACTTGTTAAATATTTCTGTATTAGAGTAAAAATTACCTAAATTATATTTCTTAAAAGAAAAACACTCAGCTACAATTCAGTAACTGTTTTTTGTTTGTTTGTTTTTTCTGCCTTTTTGCCATGGCCTTTCAAAAAAATTCAACATGTTTAAGTGAGTCTTTTAAGATTAGAATAAACAGGGGCACCTGGGCGGCTCGGTCAGTTGAATGTCCAGCTTCAGCTCAGGTCATGGATCTCACAGGCTGTGGGTTCGAGCCCCGCATCGGGCTCTGTGCTGACGTCTCAGAGCCTGGAGCCTGCTTCAGATTCTGTGTCTCCCTCTCGCTCTGCCCCTCTGCCACTCGCTCTCTGTCTCTGTGTCTCAAAATAAAATAAAGACATAATTTTTTTTTTAAAAGATTAGAACAACTTCCTGCATTTTGTGGCCCTTTTTGGCAAATGACTTCTCAGGCCAGTAGCAGCAGCCCATGACCAAATGATCGGGAGTGAGGAAGAGGTAGCTCTAGTAATCTCAGCAAATACTGCATCATGAAGGAAAAGTTGGGAGACTCTTTCTGGGAGCGTTTCTGCTGCAGAGAACCACCTGGAATGAGTGCTTTAATCATAAATAGTATCACAGGCCAAGAAGAAGGCCCCTCATGGCCCAGAGCAGGGAAAGAAGGCTTTGTGGAGCGCGTGAGTTGTGTGTCTGGCGTTTGATAGATGAGAACATTCGGCTCGTCCGGGAAGAGGAAGAAAATAGTTCTAAGCAGACAGAAAGAGAACCAGGTGCTGGAAAAAGGCAATGAGTCTGAAATGAGTAAGTTGCGTTTACAAATGAGTGAGGAGTTAGAGGATCCACTGAGAGGCAGAGGGCGACAGGGTTGAAAAGGCAAATGGAAGGCTGTATCGTGGAAGGCTTGGGAGGGAAGCCTTTACATCGGTCGTAGAATGCTCAGAGTTTCTTGAATTCGAAAGACGACCTCTCTGTTATCTCTGTTTTGTGTTCGTTACTGAGAGTTCAAGGCTGTCACCTGCTCAGGGATGGACTTGGCGTGTGTGTAGGACCCAGAGTCTGAGAGGCCTGTGCCCTGCAGCCTTTGCTGGATCTCAATGGACACAAGATGTTGGTGAGCGGGAAGAGGCGTGGAAGGAAATGAAGGGCTAGATGGAAGAGAGAAGTCCGGTATTTGTATATTTGAAGAAGAAGGAGAAAGAAAAAGAGAAAGAGGAGGAGGAGAGGACAAAATGGAAAAAAGAAAGGGAGGGAGCGAGGGAGGAAGGAGAACGGAAGCAAAAAGAAGAGAAGGAAAAATTGCAACCAAAGCTGCCTTTCGAGAGGCTGTCACTCTAATCGCATTATTGAAAAGTCAAATAAAGGGGGGAATTTCTGCACCGCCCACCGCAAACTGTCCTCGCCTGTCCCAACTGAGCAGTGACAGGCAGGGTGGTTCACTGTGAGCAGAGGCATTCAGGCTTCTCTGAAGCAAAGCACAGGAGCTTAAAATGTCAGCCATCTGGAAGCTGTGATTATAGTCACGAACCAATAGTGGAAGAGGAGTGCCAGTCACAGGCTAGGGTCTTGTTTGCGTGTTCGTTTGCAGGGACACATGGGCAGCTATCTGAGAAGCAATAGCATCTTCATACACAAGCAGCATTTTATCCATCTCAAACCTATACTCCTGGGGACTGTTACCTGGGGAGTGTTTGAAGTAACAAATGTACTGGGGGAGGGGTATGATTCCACTTACCGGAAACACAGCCTTGAACTAGTGCATCTGAGCCTGGGCAGAAAGTTGAGTGTGTGCCGAAGGCCAAAAGGGAGAGTTGCCTGTTTTTGTTTTTCTCTTAGCTTGCGAAGTTGCTCGGGCAGCTGCCAAAAGCAATGGGAAGTTTACGGCTGCCATGTTTATCCCATATCACCACATTTGTTTATTTATTTTTAAATTTTTCAAATGATTTTATTTATTTTTGAGAGTGAGAGACAGGCAGTATATGAGCAAGGAGGGGGAAGAGAGAGAGAGAGAGAGAGAGAGAGACAGAATCCAAAGCAGGCTCCAGACTCCAAGCTGTCAGCATAGAGCCCCAATGGGATTCCAACTCACAAACCATGAGGTCATGACCTGAGCCAAAGCCAGAACCTTAACCGACTGAGCCATCCAGACACCCCTCCGACATCACCACATATAAAATGGAGCGATGTTCCTTATATTCTCCAAAACTTTGGGGGAAGAAGCATATGCGAGGTTGGGTATTATGGAATCAACAGTTGAGATATTTAGATAAAGAGCATGGCTTAAGCACGTGGGAGGAAATAGTTTGCTCTTTCAACCTATGACATACTTGAGAGACCAAATGAAAACCTACAAAGAAATATCCTCAAATCCTCCATCATTTCATTTGAAGTGTTCAATAATGTGTTGCTTCCTTGAACCCTTACAACACTCTCCAGATAACAGCTGGGACCGGTGCCAGCCCTCTGTGCTTTATCATGAAGCTCCAAGCCAGCTACTGTGCTGTGGCTGCACAGTTATCCCAGGTATGGCGGTAGCAGCAGGTCTACCTGGATCACAGCTTGGCGGCAGCACTAGATAATTCCAGGGGCTTCTCTCACTGTCTTGCCCTTCCTCATGCTCTCCCACCCCTACCCATCTCCTGAGGAGTCGCTCCCTGCGGGATATTGCCATTAGCGTGCAAACATTCGTTCTAGGTGGGCCCCGTGCTACCCCACGCTGCTCCTGCAGCCAGTCACACATCCCTTTCCAGTAACTCTTAGCACTGTGTTTTCTGAGAGCCAAAAGCTGTCTGTCACATCTCCACTGATTGAAATATCGCTCAATCCCCGCAAGACCCGTCTCCCATGCAATCTTCCCAAAGCATTTTCTGATTCCATTCCCAGTGGACTGAGCTCTGTCTCTCCCTTCCACCATCTCTTAGGTACGTTAGGGGAAGGTCCTTGTCTTATTCATCTTTGTATGCCCCAGACACCTGGCACAGTGCTTCTGCCCCCAGCAGCTACTTAATTACACGCTGATTAGTTTTAATTGAATCCTGTGTTGTTCCAGTTCTTTAGAGATGAACCAGAAGTGGGAGGTACATATTTCCTTGTAATGTAGTGTGTCCAGCAGCCATAGCCAAGTGGAGTTTCTTCCTTGTTTTTGTAACTTGAAGGGTTGGCTCCCTAATCAGAGTATCTCTTGTCTCACTAATGATGCAAAAGCTGATAAATAGTCCTAGATTGTTTTTAATAAAATGAGTCATGAAGCCTTTCTGGAAAGAATGATGATGAGGGTGTGGGTACCAAGTCTGCTCTAGTTTTCAATAAAGTGGCTTATATCATGTGTGGCCACGACAGCTGCTGAAATATCTCCTCTGGAATTACCTAATCTGAGGGAGCCAATTCAGTGCAACCACAACTTGTTACACGACCTTGTGCCAGGCTCTTGGGATGGGGAAAGAGGAGGGAGTGAGTTTGCTCCTGAGCATGTTCTTCCAAGAGAATTCCTTTTAAGTTAAGATGTTGATGCAACAGTTGCTAAAACTATGGTGGAAAGGGGTGCTAGCAAGATTATGGCACAAGTAGAGAAAGTCATCAAAGGCGGGTCCCTTTTTGTTTCTGGCCTACTACCAAGAAAAATCTCCTCCATATCCCCAACTCTCTCCTTTGATGTTAGATAGGAAATGTGCTTCCCACTCAAACCTGTAAGCAAAGCAAAGTGAGACACGGTCCCACCCTCAAACATATCAAAGGGCCATCAACTAGTAATTACTTGGAATTTAACATGAACCACAAAGTGCTGTTGCTTCTGATAATAATGATGGCGACAACTGGCCTTTATATAGCATTCAAAATGTGTGCCAGACAACCTTCAAAGCATTTTACATATGGTAAGTTACTCAATCCACACCACTGGGACGTGCATCTCCTCATTCCCATATTATTGACTGAAAACTTGAGCTCGGAGAAGTTAAGTAACAAGCTGAAAGTCACAAAGCTAGTGGGCAGAGACCAGTTTGAGCGCGCACATACACGGACACACGCAAATGGAGTGCTTGCTGTGGGAAATACTAAAGGATCTTGGAATGGTCTCAGACCCAGGAAATTTAAGCAAGCAGAAAAGAGTAGAAGACGGCACTGACAAGTGCTAAATGATACGGTATTAACATAGTGCAAAGACTCGGTAGGGTGGGAATATGTGTCTTCATGATTCTCACTTGTACGTGTGTGTGAGAGATTTGTCAAGCAAAGTCTCAGCCAACTTGGGAGGACATTTACTGACCTAACACACCACAGGGCTGAGCTTCCACATCCATGTGGTAGATAATAGTGTTTGCTGTGCTTGATGAGAATTTGGAAGTGTGGAGGAATTAGGACTCTTGCTTGTGGCCATACAGCCGAGAAGCAGTTGAAGTCAACCTTTGAACTCAGAATTCAAAGTCTCTACCCTTAACTGCTATACTGTGTCACTCCAACACACAAGTGCAGGATTCAAGACCCAGGGATCAGAGAAGAGCTTCAACCTGAGGCAACCGCAAGTGGTCTGTATTCCTCAGGCCTCCTAACTGCTCCAGGATCCGTTGAGGCCTCCACTTCTCACCCCAAGGTGGATGCTTCCCTTCCTCTGCTCTAAATGTCAGAATCAAAAGATCTAGTCCCCCCACTCCTAACAAAAAAAGGGAAATGTTCAGTAATTCTAGCCCAGTTACCCTCCTGTCCGTCTGTCTGTCCTGTCTACCATTAAGTAGACATCTTCAGCAACTACCCCCAACTCAAGATCAATGTTCCTCTGTTTCAAAGTTTCTCAGCCTTGGCACTGCTGACATTTTTTGGGTTGAATAATTCTTTGCTGTGGGGGCTGTCCCGTGCATTGTAGGACTTCTACCCACTAGATGCCAGTAGCACCTTCTCTTCCACCACCTCGTGTGACAACCAAAAATGTCAAAAGACGTTGTCAAATGCCCCATAGAGGGGGGAAAAAATCACTCCAGTTGAGAAACCTGGCTCTATTTTGAAATAGAGTGAACAATTGAGAGGATTTAGAAGTCTGAATGGAGGCAGGCAGGGTACAGTGGTGAAGCTTTTGGATAAGAAGTGTAAGTTCTTTGCTTCTTTGCCTGAGTGAGCATGGTAGGTTAGTAGCCCACAAATTATTTTTCCAAAATAGAATTTTATTTTCATATAAATCATTTTAAGAACCCATTCCTCTTAAACAAACAAACAAACAAACAAAAGTTCCTCCTAATGGCAGAAAAAGGTACCATAGCCATTTCTAGACAGGAGAAATAATTTATTATTTAGACTGGGTCAATTTGGAATGTTTCACTCCCCTCCAAACACTTTATCTCAGAATGGACTGGTTTTACTGAAGCATCTTGGAGGGAGGAGAGGTGTTTAATCAGTGGGCATCCTATATTCATCTGTGGCATCCACCAAATTGGAACAATCTTGTTTAGTCTTTAGCTTGGATGTTTCCCCATGTGACATAGATGAGGCTTCCTCAGTGTCCCTGGTCTCTCGCTGTGTAATCAGTGCCAGCTGAGGTTGTAGCAGTCACCACAAGTGTAAGTCTTCTGCCCCCAGCTGGTCCAACGTCCACTTATTCTACCTCAGGCCACACAGAAAACAGGGGACTGCTCCCCAGGGCTCACTAAGGTATGCAGGGCTCAAGAGCCCTGACGGCCCCGGCAGCCGTCTCCGCTGCCCCAGGTAGTCCTGGGGTGGGAAAGTATGCAGCTGTTGCCTTCCCACACAACTAAATCAAGTCATCACACCGACGGGGAATTTGTGGATTCCAGTCCCCTGTCCTGTGAGCCCATGCACAGGGTCCCTTCCTTGTCGTACATACCTGTCTAGCTTTATCGCTCTTCCCTCCCTCAGTTTTACAGGTAGTGGATAGAGAAGAGTGACGAACTTGACCACATATATGTGGAAGCATAAAAAAATATGTGAGCAAAAGTTAAGTGTGATAATTCAGTTTTTTGATTTACAAATGATTTGAAGGAAAAGCTCTCGTGAAGTGAATTTATTGAATTCAAGGACCATAGATAAAAGATTTCAAAGGATGTTAATGTTGTTTGCCTAACTGACAATAAAACTATTTTCATTTTGCCCGTTTCACTTCTGGAGATTACGAGATAAAGGATATCTCACGTTCCAAAGTAAAGGGAGCCAAATTTCTGTTCCTGTAATCTGAGTCACCTCTTGTAGCAAATAAAAACCAGAACTGGGACCTTAGATAAACTTTCAGTCCAGAGAGTGCAAGGTGTTCACAATGTACTCACTTTGCTCCAAACTTGGAGCAAAAGGTAGATAAAATATACAGAAAGAAAGCATTATAGTAATACAGTGGGCCCCAAAACAAAATTAAACATATTTTGAGCCAGAAATGGAACAGAAAACAAAGGAATGAAGTATGGATCTGCTGGGCCCTTGGCATGAAATAGGCAGAGACTGTCATCCCTGCTGATGGGTTGAAAGCACTGTTTCAGGGAGCTGAGTCAGGGCTGAACAAAAGCAATCTTGTTGCTTTGGGCTGTACAAAATGAAGAAGTCACAGAATAATTTACACTGATGTGCATCCTAGGGTACAGATTATAAGAAACCACGAGCTTGGGATGGGGGATGCAGGGAAGGGGTGAGGGGTGGGGCAACAAGAACCAAATTATCCATATGCTGGTTCAATTACAGAATTACAGATACATCTGCAATATTCCATAGGAGAAAAAGTCCCCCAGAAGCCACTCCAAGACCTAGTTTTCAGGGAGTCGGATGGAAGCACTTAAGGAAAAATGAGAGGGAGGAGGTGGAGGTGGAGAGAGAGAAACAATGTGAGAATATAAACAAATAAATAACTTGAAATACCTGCACATCAAAGTTTCAAAATGCACAAAGAAACTGAGTGCTAGGAAGAATAGTCAACTAAATCAACAATAGTATCATGAATACACACCATTTCATAGAATGGTTTAATAAAGACTTTAAATATGCCCAAGGCACTTAGTTATAAATGATGATGAATCTCTGAAACAAAAAAGGAATAAATAAGAGGATAGGTTGATATTCTTTTAAAAAAAACTGAGAAATATTATAAATGAAAATTATGGAAATTAAAAACATATTAATAAATGGGCAACTCCTGACTTGGACCCAATCAGAGAAATAAAATCTCAATCAGAAATCACTATTGAGGAGTTTACATAAAACATTTCCCAAAGAGATAAGCGGCAAAAATAATAAGAGAGCTGCTATTAGATAGAACAGTTTGATTAAGAAACTCCAGCACAGGGGCGCCTGGGTGGCTTAGTCGGTTGAGCGTCTGACTTTCGCTTAGGTCATGATCTCGCGGTTCGTGGGTTCGAGCCCCACGTCGGGCTCTGTGCTGACTGCCAGCTCAGAGCCTGGAGCCTATTTCAGAGTCTGTATCTCCCTCTCTCTCTGACCCTCCCCTGCTCACGCTGTCTCTCTCTCTCTCTCTCCTAGAAATAAATAAAAATATAAAAAAAAAAAAAAAAAAAAAAAAAAAGAAACTCCAGCATAAATCTGTTAGGAGTCCTAGAAAAAGAGACTGGCAGGAATCACAGATAAGTAATAATTAACACAGTCATAGCAGAGAATTTTTCAAAATTTAAAAAAAATTAGAAAGTGCTTCAGATACCATATGCTTTCATGTAAAAAAGAATTAGGAGGAACTTAACGGAGAACCATGGGGGAGAAGAAGGGGGAAAATAGAGGGGGAGAGGGAGGGAGGCAAACCATGAGAGACTCTTGAATGTTGAGAACAAACTGAGGACTGATGGGTGTGGGGGGGAGGGGGGTGATGGGCATGGAGGAGGGCACTTGTGGGGATGAGCACTGGGTGTTAAATGGAAACCAACTTGACAATAAACTATTTTAAAAAATTTAAAAAGTACTTAATTGGAAAGCACATCTATTAAATTACTACAATGTAGTGGGTGAAACTCCAGAAAGTTGGGGATAAATAATCTTAAAAGCTATTAGAAAGAAAACACATTGCCTGCAAAAGAATCTTAGCTAAAGTGACAGCAAATTTCTCATCAGCAACAATAAAATGAAAGGTGATATGAAAATAATATCTTTAAAAGTACTACAGAAAAATAGCTTAAATTTTAAAACCGTTTAAATCATCCAAGAACAAGGGCAAAATAAGGATATTTTCAGATATATAATATAAAATCTTGATCATCCACAAACTTCTACTAAATTATAATAGGACACACATTAACAAGAATAGCAGGAGGGAAACTTTGGGATATAAGGAGCAATAGTTAATACAAGAAACAACGAAGTTAATAAAATTTTATTGTAAAAGTTAAAAAATTCTTCATAGAAAATGTTTTATTAAAAGGGGAAAACTAAATCTTTGAACATAAACGTGATGGACTGTCAATGGGCAGTTAAAACTTGTTAAAATATGAATCATGTTTGGAGGAGAAGAAAAATATAAAATTCATTTAGGCTTCATAAGAAGATTCACAGTGATGAACATTTCTAAAACTTTTAATGATGATCACTAAAAGAATAGAAATACATTTCACAGCTTTAAATTAGAAGTAAAAAGAAGTAAATCAGAAGTAAAAAGAAGGACGTAGTGAAAATGTTATATAAACAAGGAAAATGTAAAAAGGAAGACAAAGAAAGAAATGGTGAATGGAAAACAGAAAAGATTGTAGAAATACATCCAAGCATATTAAATCACAATAAATGTAAAGGGATTATTTTCATCAATTATTTGGGGAGATGTTGTTTAAGGGTGCAAACTTGTAACTAGTAGATAAATAAGTCCTAGAGATCTACTGCACAACATAGTGATTATAGTCAACAACTCTGTATGATAAATGTCAAAGTTGCCAGAAGACAAACTTAATTTCTCTCACCACGGAAAAGAAAGAATTTTGTGATGTGATAGAAGTGTTAGCTAATGCTACAGTGGTAACCATATTACAATAAATAAATGTATCAAATCAGCACATTGCGTGCCTTAGATTTACACAATGTTATATGTTAATTATATCCGTTAAAAAATGTTTACAGCATATGAGACACATTTAATTTTTTAAAGTTTTTTTTTTTAATTTTTAAATTAAGTTTTAAAATAAACCAAATAGCCAATAATTGCAGAGGCGAGGGGGATGAAAATTAAAACAATGAGAAGCCATGTAAACCCTATATAAATTGTTGAAAATTTAAAAGTCTGACCACACCAAGTGTGGGTGAGGCTATAGAGCAAACAGAAGTCTAATCTGTAGCTGATGGGAATATAAATACTTACAATCACAACGGAGAACAACTTGGCGATATCTAGTAACTATAGATATATAGAATATTACTCCGGCAATCCTACTTTTATATATGCTATATATGTTGTGGAAGAACATGCAAATAGGTAAGAAGAGATATTACATCAGTGTTTGAAGTTGCATTATGAGAGTGAAAAGTTGTAAACTGGTTGCATACATGAACTCTTATATAGTCATACATACCATGGAATACTATCAGCAGATAAAAATAATAAATTTACACTGCAGAAGAACATATTTCTTTAAAAATGTGTTGACAGAGGGGACCCTGGGTGGCTTAATCAGTTAAGCGTCTGATGTTGCGGTTTGTGGGTTTGACCCCCACATTGGGCTCCATGCCGACAGCTCAGAGCCTGGAGCCTGTTTCAGGTTCTGGGTCTCCCTCTCTCTCTCTCTCTCTGCCCCTCTCATGCTCACGCTCTGTCTTTCTCTGCCTCTCAAAAATAAAGAAACTTTTTAAAAAATGTGTTGACAGGCCTAAGTGTTACAGTATAGTATGATATCAATTATATATTGTTCAGAAACCTATGTGCTACAGTGTACTGTTTGTTGTTAAATCTATACTTAGAGATGGTGTAGAAACATTCATGAGATAAATAAATCACCAATTCAGGGTTGGAGTTACCTCCGTGAAGGCATGTGGTATTAGCGTCAGAGAACTGCACACGGGGGCCTCAACTCTATCGAATGTTCATTTCTATTTAAAACTATATGCCAAACATGGCAAAGACAATGACTTCAATAAAGTTGGGTAGAGGTACTGGGGTGTTGGTTTTATTATATGCTTTTGTATATATTGGAACTATTTCTCAATTTTAAATTGTCCATTTGATTTTTAAAAAGATAGGGAGGGTTTGCGATAAGGGACCTTCTAGTTAGTCAAAAATTCGTGTAATTTACTGTGATGGACTGCTCTAAAGAAAAATAGAAATGTAACCATTGTCGTTGTTGTTGTTTCAGACACATGTATGACCACTTCGTTAACCTCTACCCGCAGCTGATTAAGAAACCTTCCATCGTGGATAAAGTGCAAGATTTTATGGAGTATGTGTAAAAGCTTTCCTCTTGTTATTGATACGACGGGGCCTGAATCTGTCATTGCAAACGGCAGTTTTCCTTCACCAGCGCCCTTTTCTGTCTCTTAGGCAGCACTCCAGAGCTGGTCTCGTAGTAAGGTGATAGCACTTTTTGGTAATGACCCGAAAACTGGTTGCACACAGCATGGCCTCTGATTTGGGCTCTTTCAAAGTCAGGTTGAATATCATTATCAGCTGCCGGCACTGCTGGAGGAAGCCCCCATGAGAGTAAGGAAGGCAAAGTTAAGTGCCTGGACCGCGTCCACCTAAGGACCCCTCTCCTTCAGGGATCGCCTCCTCCTCCCTGAGGTGCTTCGGTTTCACGGGCCTGGTGACTGATGCTGGCTGGGGCGCTAGCTGTTATCTAGTGCTAATTGTTAACATTCTCTGAAAAACATTTCCGTTTTGATAATGTTTTCTGAAGACTAACAATTCTCAATATTCAGAAGATTTCTATTTCTTTTATATGTGGGATTTGTTTTATGTTTTAGATTTGTGGCTGTGATTAATTTGGAGGCAAAAGGGTTCCTGATTGGGCCCTCCAAATCATACACTAAGCAACCTCTTCATCAAATCTAACGTCCTGCAGAGCATCATTAAAAATTATTGGGCTAGATCCCATGAAGCAACAACATTGTATTCTAAGATTAATGTAGACAGGCGCCTGGGTGGCTCAGTCGGTTAAGCATCTGACTTTGGCTCAGGTCATGATCTTGCAGTTGATGGGTTTGAGCCCCACGTTGGGCTCTGTGCTGACAGCTCAAAGCCTGGAGGCTGCTTCTGTGTCTCCCTCTCTCTCTGCCCGCCCCCCACTCATTTTCTCTCTCACCCTCTCCCTCTCTCCCTTTCTCAAATAAGTGTTTAAAAGAAGTATTTAAGATTGATGTAGAGATAGCCTGAGCAAATCAGAAATGGCTTTTGGTACATAAAGTTGTGTCAAATCATTCCCTATAAAGTGCAGAGAACTAAAAGAGAAGAGACAGTGTGGAAGGAATCTAAAAAGAAGGCTCTTAATAAGCATGTGAGGGCAAAAGCGTGGAGTTATTAGCAACCACTGAAACAGATTGATGGCAGAGAAGTATAAACATATACAAACCATCCTGTCCTTGGAGGTTTTTATTCTTTTGTTGTTGTTCTTTAACGTTACCACTTCCACATACAAAAAAAACAAAAAACAAAAAAAAAAAAAAACTGATCCTTACCGCTTTACTGAGACATTATGGTTTTATATGAAATGCATGTGGATGGTCTGTCCTAGACTTTTGTAGACCTCAATATCACAAGAAACAACTATTACACCTAGACAGAGCGTGCAGGAAGCTATCAAAGAAGAGTATAGTCCTAGAAATCGAAAATCATTTAGAATTTGCCATGACAGACTTTCAAAATGATTGGAATGTTGTAAGGTCCAGAGTTTAAATCACACCAGCATAAGTATCTAAATATATAACCCCTAAATGCCTGGGTTGAATGTAGCTTTGGATAAGCTACCATGCTCAAATCTAATTTCTCTTGCAGGAAGCAAGATCAGTGGACCCGGAAAAACATCAAATATTACAAGGATGACCCATTTTGGAGACATACAGGCTATGTTGTGACACAAATGGATGGGCTGTATTTAGGAGCAAAGAAGAGGGCTATGTTAGAAAAGACAAAGGTAAGATTTTTAAAAAGCTACTCAGAATTTATATGGTATGGCAAGAATACTGAAAATTATCTCTAAAATAATATTCTAACTTAGAAGCAGATCAAATTAGGACTAGCACACAAATTTCTTGTACACAGGCACTATCTTGTGTTTTTTTTAAATGTTTTATTTATTTCTGAGAGAGAGACAGCATGAGCAGGAGAGGGTCAGAGAAAGAGGGAGACACAGAATCTGAAACAGGCTCCAGGCTCTGAGCTGTCAGCACAGTGCCCGACGTGGGGCTCAAACCCACGAACCGCAAGATTATGACCTGAGCCGAAGTTGGACGCTTAACCGACTGATAGTGCCCCATGGCACTATCTTATTATATTGCTAGCACCTGACTCAGTGTCTGACACAAAATTCAAGCTTAACACACAATCTCTTTATCTCTTAATTTCTTTCATCATTCTGTGCTCTGGAGTAGGTTAAAGAATATGGTAAATGCATGTTCTGGCTGTTTAACCTAATAAAACTAGTATTTTAGTTGATAATCATTGTTAAGGCAAAATGTCTAAGTGTACACATCCTATACTTCCCACCTTCTATGACACACACGCACACACACTTGTGCACACATCACAGTATTTTGAAAAGCTTTACTGAATAATTGAAGACTCAAAGGTACACTTAATATATTTCCTAAAATTATGAAGATTTTGTTTCCTGGAGGTAATACACACACACACACACACACACACACACTCAACTGGGCATGTGTATACACATTGGGAAAAAATATACAGAAGGACAGTTCATAGATAAGTGATGCAAAATTGTGAATCACATAAACCAAGCCTTATTCATGAGTTTAGAAATACAAATTAAAACCATACTGAGACATACTTTCTCACTCACCAATTTGGCTAAAGTTCTAAAATGTGAATGTATACTCTGTTGGCAAGGCTAAAGGCAAAAAATGCCGGCAGGAATTCCCGAAATACTGGTAGGAATACAAAATGGTATATTCGCTCTGGAGAGAAATTTGACTCTTTGTATCCAGATCACCTACTCATTTACCCTTTGATCCAGCAACACCCCTTCTAGGATTATCACAAAAATTCACAGGCAAAATTTCAGTATGCCATATGTGCCAGCCTCTTAACTGCAAAGAATCTGTAATAGCAAAAGACTGAAAACAACCAAATACATAGAAAGAAGACTGGCTGTGTAAATGAGTCGCTATAAATAAGAATGAGGGAGATCTCCAAATACTGCTATGGAATGATGTTTGGGATCTGTTATTGTTACGAAGTATAAAAAAGTGGGGTGTCTGGGTGGCTCAGTCGGTTAAGAATCCGACTTTGGCTCAGGTCATGATCTAGTGTTCATGGGTTTGAGCCCCGTGTCGGGCTCTGCGCCGACATCTCAGAGCCTGGAGCCTGCTTCAGATTCTGTCTCCTTCTCTCTCTGCCCCTCCCCTGCTCACACTCTGTCTCTCTCTCTCTTTTTCTCAAAAATAAACATTAAAAAAAAATAATAAAAATAATAAATAAATAAAAGAGTAAGGTGAGGACCAGCGCAAATTGTTTGCTGCCTTTTACATAAGAAATGGAAATAAGAAAGATGATGATAGAGAGATGGGTAGATCGATAGATTTGCTTAATTTTCCAAGAATAAACAACAATGAAACAATAAACCCAAAACTAAAAACAAAAACAAAAAAAAGGATTTAAAAAAAGTGGAAGGGACAGGACTGAAATGTACATTCCTCTGAATGTATCTTTATACATTTGACTTTGGACCATGTAAATGCTGTTGGTAACTATAAACCGAAGTTCAATCACACAGAAGAAAAACAGCCCCTAAAATCTTAAAATGAATTGACTTGAATATATCTAATTATATATCAAGTTCATAGCATAGCCATGCAGAAAGCAGTCATTTCCAGTGACCTGCACACTGTTACTATGGTACATCCTTAATAGGATAGATCTTAAGGACAAGAAGAAACATCATAAAAACAAAACCAAAATAACCTTAAACTGTATTCAGTAATCTCACTTTAGCAATAATATTGATGTTGCTATTTTGAAATTTGATATAGTTAGATATAGTAACTATAAAGCAAATATATTTATCAAGTAAATAAATATGTTGAATATCAAGATTTTCAGCGTATAAGAGAAATCAATGAAATAAAGACCTTGTGGTTTTTAAAGTTGTTATATAGGTAGAAAATCATTACTTTTAGCTTCCTTTAAAAAAACAAATAATTTCTTGCTTTGCCTCTTGAAAAGGCTTAGAAATAATGAGAATAGCATTGAGCCTCGCCTAGGAGACTATGACTTAGGGTAAGCAACAGTATCTCAAACAAGGCAAAAACAGCTCAAGCCACAAAGATAAATATAAATTCAGCTAATTAAAATATATTAGTGGGGGAGGGGTCCATGTACATACAAGTTCACAGTATCATTGTTTTGCTACAAACTGGAAATACCCCAAATGTTCACCCATATATCATGGTACTGTATATTCATGTGATACCTTGTAGGAATGAAAATGAATGAACTGTTTCCACACTGTCAACATTGATAAATGTCAAAAAAAAAAAAAAAAAAAAAACTTGAGCAGAAGAATGCACAGAGTATGATTCTATTTGTACAAACTCAAAAGCAAGCAAATTAAAAAAATAGGTTGTCTAGTGGTATATACGTAGGTGATAAAGTAACAGAAAGGTGGGTAATGAGCCAGAGTGGTTACTACTGATAAAGAAGGGGGAGATGAGATTGGGAGCTTTTAAGGCACAGCTAATGTTTTATTTCCCAAACTGTGGGGTGGGTTCATTAGTATTTTTAAAAATTATTTCTTCTTAAATTGTACATATGATCTTTATTCTTTCATAAGTATGATATCATTCTTTTTTTTATTTTTTTTAATGTTTTATTTATTTCTAGGAGAGAGAGAGACAGCGTGAGCAGGAGAGGGTCAGAGAGAGAGGGAGTCACAGACTGAAACAGGCTACAGGCTCTGAGCTGGCTGTCAGCACAGAGCCCGACGTGGGGCTCGAACCCACGAACTGCGAGATCATGACCCAAGCGAAAGTCGGACGCTTAACCGACTAAGCCACCCAGGCGCCCCAATTCTTAACTTAAAAATAAAGACAGAAAATTAAAGGCAATTAAAAGCTGAAAAATAATATTTGCAATTCATACCAAACAATGAACTAGTCTCCTTAATACTTAAAGAACTCCTAAAAGTTGATAAGAAAAAGAATAAGGCGGGGCACCCGGGTGGCTTAGTCGGTTAAGCGTCCGACTTTCACTCAGGTCATGATCTCGCGGTTCGTGGGTTCGAGCCCCGCGTCAGGCTCTGTGCTGACTGCCAGCTCAGAGCCTGGAGCCTCTTTCAGAGTCTGTGTCTCCCTCTCTCTCTGACCCTCCCCTGCTCATGCTGTCTATCTCTCTCTCTCCTAGAAATAAATAAAAAACATTAAAAAAATTTAAAAAAAAAAAAAAAAGAAAAAGAATAAGGCATATGAACAATTCACCAAAAAACAAATTCAAAGGTTTTGAAACATGCTCTGCCTCACTCACTCATAACAAAAGAATTGCCAAGGGGCATCTGGGTGGCCTTGATTTAGACTCAGGGCAGGATCTCGCGGTTCGTGGGTTCGAGCCCTGCATTGGGCTCTGCGTAGGTGGCATGGAGCCTGCCTGGGATTCTCTCTCCCTCTCTCTCTGCCCTTACCCCTCTCCACAAAGTAAATAAATAGACTTTAAAAAAGAAGAATGAGGGGCTGTTTTTCACCTATCAAATTGAAAATAAACTCAATGTTTAATATGTTGTTGAGGCTGTTAAGTGTCTGTTGAATAGCTAAAACATGGGAAGAGCCTAAGTGTCCATCAACGGACGAATGGATCAAGAAGATGTGGTTTATCTATACCATGGAATACTACGTGGCAATGAGAAAGAATGAAATCTGGCCATGTGTAGCAACATGGATGGACCTTGAGGGTGTTATGCTGAGCGAAATAAGTCAGGCAGAGAAGGACAAATACCATATGTTTGCACGTATAGGAGGATTGGGAGGAACTTAACGGAGGACCGTGGGGGAGAAGAAGGGGGGAAATGGTGGGGGAAAGGGAGAGAGGCAAACCATGAGAGACTCTTGAATGCTGAGAACAAACTCAGGACTCGTGGGTGTGGGGGGGGGAGGGGGGAGATGGGTATGGAGGAGGGCACTTGTGGGGATGGGCACCGGGTGTTATATGGAAACCAACTTGATAATAAACTATCTGTAAAAAAAAAAAAAAGTAAAAGAAAAAAAAAGTGTCTGTTGAGATAAGCCCTCTGCAGACAATTTGGCAATGTCTATTAAAATAAAAATTGCGTCTAGGCATCTGTCCTACACAGAGACTCACACATACGAAATGATGTGTCCAAGATTGATTTTTTGGAACACTGTTTATAATAGCAAAAGACTTGAAACCGGAAAGTCTGGGCGCCTGGGTGGTTCAGTCGGTTGAGCGTCAGACTTCGGCTCATGATCTCGTGTAAGTTTGAGCCCCACATCGGGCTCTGCGCTGACAGCTCAGAGCCTGGAACCTGCTTCAGGTTCTGTATCTCTCTCTCTGTACCCCTCCCCTGCTCACACTCTGTCCCCTCAAAAATAAATAAACGTTAAGAAATATTTTTTTAAAAAAATCAAGAAGCGTCTTAGTTGAACATTTTGCTTTTAAACAGTGATTCTCAACTATGAGCAACCTCCCTCCAGGGCAGAGTCGGCAGTACATGGAGACACTTTTGGTGATCAAAACTCGGAGGGTGCTACTGATACCTAGAGGGAGAGAGCCAGGGATGCTGCTCAATATTTTACAGTGCACAACCCCCCACAAAAAGTTATTTGGCTCTAAATATCACTCGTGTTTTGGGTATCAAAACATGCTAAAGCATCTCTTATAAACCATAAGATAGTAACTATTTTATAAGCTACAATAAAATCAAATGCATTTGTTACATTAGGGACCCTTCACAAAGGAATAACTGAGTGTATCCCTGACAATAGGAAAACTGGCCACAAATCACTGTTAAGAGCGCTCTGTTGTCTCTCCCCAGCCTATGACCATGTTCCAGATTCAGTTCCTGAATGCCATCGGAGATCTGTTGGATCTGATTCCCTCAGTCTCTCCCACAAAAAATTCCAGCATGAAGGTTTTTAAGAGATGGGACATGGGACACTGCTCGGCTCTTATTAAGGTGAGACACAAAGCCTCCCCTCTCTTATCCCTTGTTCTGGAACACACAGACTTTTCCCGTATGTCAGCCCAAGTATGGCAACATCTCATCATCCCTGGCTACAGCCGTATTATCAGTTTATGGTTCCTCTGTCTAGTAGTTAAGAACAGGAAGGAACTGATGAAGGGTATTGGAAGTACATGACGTAACCTCTGTTTCTTCTACCACTTCTCCCGTGCTGTATGCACCTCCCTCTCCCCCACCCACAGTCTTCTATTTTGGTTACTTGAAGGACAGTGCATTTGCTGTGTGTACATTAAAGGTTAATTTTGTGCTCCGTGACCGTATCTCTCGATAATAAATATGGCAATGAACAGCCAAACTGACACAATCGCTGTACACTTCCCACACTTGCAGTCAGTTATCTGTATACCTCTGCATCATTCTCTATGATTCTGGCTCTAGGTTCTTCCTGGATTTGAGAACATCTTTTTTGCTCACTCAAGCTGGTACACATACGCAGCCATGCTCAGGATATATAAACACTGGGACTTCAACATCAAGGATAAAGACACCAGCAGTCATCGCCTCTCTTTCAGCAGTTACCCAGGTAAATCCATTTCAAGGGACTTCTGAGTACTCGGAATACTATTTCAGAATAAAACCTTGGTGATTCGGAGTAACCGGAACGGGGGAAGAAATCTTTAGGGGTTGGTATACGTTCATGAAGATTGATTTTCAGAATGCCTTTCGAAGAAATATAGCTCTAATGTTTTTATTTAATAGAATCGTGTGAACAGTTAATAGGTGGCAAAAATTCACTTCAATAAATGGCCAACCGAGGTACAAGGCACTTTCCCAGGCTCTGTGGTGGAAGCCAAGATAGGCAAGAGAGAGGCTGCTCTCAGTATCTCCTTGATACTCTTTCTCTTACTCTTATTGCAACATCCTCAGAACTTAAGCGTGTGTTTGGCACTTTGTACCTAATCCGCTTTTGCTGAATGGATGGATGAATGTGTGAGCTTCTAAATCCTTCCACTAGCAAGATAAATGCAATATAGATAATAGTAGTACTGGGTACTCTGTGGGCTACAAAAGAAACGCAAGGAATGTTAGGAGTATTCAAAAGAGTGTCAGCTCACATTGGATTGTTGGGGGAAGGAAAGAGAGGCTGACACTTGAGATGAACCATGAATGATGGCTTGAACTTGAACAGGTAGAGATGGGTGGGAGGGAGTAGGAATTGCAAGCTCCTTTCCTTAAAGGGGCCAGGCGGGTGAGGTAAAATGAATAAAGTGGGGCAGGTATAAGAAAATAAAAGTGAAAACAATTGTAGAAAACACAAGACCCCCTGAAAGGGGGCCAACTGCTGAGCTCCCACTGACTGTTGTCACCCAGCAATATGCAAGTCAGTGTTGCCAGATCTTCCAACCTCTGAAAATAGAAATACGGATATAATGAAGAAAATCCACTGTGTGAACCCACTAACGTGTGTCCGCTGGTGGGAATTGCCCCCTCAACTGCAGGTGTGCAACCTCGTCATGGAACATCATGGGTAAAGGCAAAAGGAAAATTCTCACCAAATATTTAAGAGTCCAATGTGGATACAGGTGGACACTTTTGACCTTTAATTACATATTTGTAACTTACGGAGTGGTTATACCAACCAACTGTTGTATCTATCGACTTTCTGGTATTATTGGTCCTGGTATTAATGCCATCCTATTCAGAATTCTGGTCAGCGGCATAACTTGGTATTTTTCTGTCCTTAGGACCTGATCCTTACTTTGAAAACAGTTTGATTTCTTCTTTGTCATTGCTTGCTTAATCTTTTTAGTATTGAGGGGGACTGGGGACTCCTCTGGAGACAGACTGTGTTTTGAACCTTTATGTTCCTCTAGACTGAAATTGAAGGACAGCGTGAGACTGAGGCCAGTCAAGTATTCATATTCTTCTTCGTACTCGCAATAAGATGCAATGTTCAGATGTTACCTGCACTGTTTCAAAATCTCTACAGAATAGTGTTTTTGTTTTTCCATAGTCTTAATAATCCTGGATCCCAAAGCTAGTGATGGGGAAGGAAGTGGAGGAATTCCCTATGAAATGTGTAACTCTGTTAACATTTTCATATACGTATATATCTTTCCAGAATAGATAGATACATAGATAATAGAGATTTTTTTTTAGAGCATTTAAACAGAGAAACAAGCCTTTTTTTTTTTTTTAACCCCAAGGTGTTTTTACAGGAGTGAGTATAGCAATGTGATTCATATTTTAACTGGAAACGTGAAAAACGTGTAGGATCTTATTTCTCTTACAAAGAATTGTTTGATGAAACGATCAGCTGCATTGGATTCATCCAGTAGATATGGAACTAAGCTTTGCCATGAACTTCATGCCAGAACAAAGCTGGGTGGCTTGTTTTGCTTGTTGTTGTTTTTGGTGGAGGAGATTGAGTGGATTAGGAGTGTGGTGTCAGTTAGGACATGGAGCCTTTTCATGGTAGGAGCGAGGATATTAAGAATTACTGAGACAGAACATAAATATCGGGTCATGAAATATTCGCAGCATGGCCGAGGCACATGTTAAAGATGACAATAACTGGGATGGCACAGATACCATTAAAGATACAAATACCTCTGAAGAATTCAAATGCACCTTCCATGCTTTTACACTACAGCAGCTCCCCCCACCCCCGCCCACTACACCAGCTCCCCCCACCCCCGCCCAACTCTGTAGAAGGGGCCACCAAGATGATTGCCATGAAAAACTTAAAGCTTCAAGACACAAAGACTTTTGTTTTTTGTTTTGAGGTTTCATAAAAGGAAAATGGTAGACCTTGGACAGGTGCTAAACTTCCTCAGCGTACGAAATCCAACTATTTTACTTTGGCGAGCCTCAGGTTTTTTATCTGTAGAATGAGACTAATATAAACTTTACTTCATAAAGTTGTAAACATTATGTAATTTACCTATTCGTCTATAATTTTCTATGAAATTGTCGTGTTAGGCAAAGTATGTATGATAAGAAACAGGACAGATACAGACTGTATCCTAATAAAATTTGAGTTCTGGTGAAAAATAGAGACAAATTTTTTAAAAAGCAATGATTAAAGTGTGGTTTGTGTAACAGTAGGTAGAACTAGTTTGGGGAGGTTGAAATAGCTTCCAAGAGAAAGTAAAATGGGGGGCGCCTGGGTGGCTCAGTCGGTTAAGCGTCAGACTTCGGTTCAGGTCATGATCTCACAGTTCGTGGGTTCGAGCCCCACGTCGCGCTCTGTGCTGACAGCTCAGAGCCTGGAGCCTGCTTCAGATTCTGTATCTCCCTCTTTCTCTGACCCTCCCCTGCTCACACTGTCTCTCTCTCTCTCTCTCTCTCTCTCTCTCTCTCTCAGAAATAAATAAAACAGTGAAAATTTTTTAAAAAAAGAGAGAAAGTAAATGGAAGGTGAGACACAAAGGCATGTATAAGTTAGCCAGCAAATGGGGACAATGAGGTGGTAACATTCCATGTGGAACAAACAGGATGTGGAAAGGCCTGTAAGCAAGAAGAACAGTGGAGAAGGCCAGAAAGAGGGAACGGAGGACAATGCATGACCATTCAAGTGACAAGCGGTAGAAGTGCTATTCGTAGATTAGCATTTTAGAATTACCTGGTCCATGAGGGTGACAGAGTCCGCCGACAGAACATTTCGAAGTCTGAGGCGATAATCCAGGTGACTCAAGCCCTGTGATGTTTTTTAGATGGTCAGTCAATAGGTAGATGGAGGATTGATATCCATCTTCAAGAAGAAAACAGTATCAAAAATGACTGCGGAATTACTATAGCAATTTGTGAATTTCTATGTGTTCCCACTGTCCGAGCCAGAATCTTTGAGGGGTATGGACCTAATGAGAATTGTCAGAAGGCCACTCCCAGAGTTGCACTCCAGCAGAGGAGAATAGAAGGAAGAGCAGTAATCCAGCACTCTCAGACTTCATCTAAAGCAATCTTAATCTAAGTCAATCCCATGCTCTGTGCTCACAAGGGCCCTAGGTGACGCCATAAAACTGGAGGTGGTTATGTCAAGGAAACAAATTAAATAATAACCTCCATCTTAATCTAGAAAGGGTTAGGTGACTTGGTAGTATAATAGTTTCAGACTTTTTCAGACTGTTTTAAAAAAATTGAGTAGGATTATTTCGCCTGAAGATACTAACATGAAATTTCTTGAGAAAGTCAAAAGTATACCACAGCACGTTAGGTACTGGTAAATCTCAGTATTGCCCTTAGGCCCACGTGAGTGATGTTCCAGCTTTGGAGTGCCTTCCTCAAACTTTTCTAAGTCCCCCTCCAACACCCCAAGAACAGCCAAGTTGGCACAGTTGGTGCTGGTTTGTGTCCCTTGTATCTTCCAGAAGTTTTCAAAATATCCTTGTAGTGCCCAGGACTAGCCGGAGGAGCAGAGCCAACCAGGTGGGGCTAAGCTTAGGCAGGAACCCACGTGGGTCCTGGTCCTTGGCTGTCCCTTGTCTGAGAGCTCTTACCCTCTACCCTACCTGTATGTGGGTTCAACAAGATGGTGCCCATCAACATGAAGAGCTGTGGGACTCAAGCCTACGGGGTGGTCCTGGTGAATAGATCCTTCCTGTTGGCCTTCACGGTATATTTTCTTCCTGCCAGAACTGACAGAATGTTGCTGACATGATGATTTGAGGTGGCCCTCATGTCAGACGCAGCGTGTGTTCAGGGCTCTAGGCTGTCAAAGGCCACCCTTACCCTCAGGCTTATGCATGTCTGTGGATCTCTGCTTTTGCCTGGTTCTCACTGGCACTGCCCTGCTTCCTGAGGGCCAAAGAGGAGGCAACAAGTGAGCTTACTGGTTGCAGCTCCACTGTTGGCCCCCTGGGCAGTCACCTCACCCCTAGCAGGCTCTGTACCACATGTTCATGTTCCACAGTTTTCTGAGGAAGGCCGGGCCTGGCCCTTACAAAGGCGTTTGAGAGTCTTGCTCCGTGACACAAACAGGCCTTCGCGGCAGTTCTCATGGTTTCTGTGGAGCAGGAATTTAGGGCACAAGTGAGGATGGCTTGTCTCTACTTCTCTCCATCTGGGTCTTTAGCTGAAGGCTCAAAGACTGACTGGCTGAAATCTATGATAGCTTAACTGATGCTATAGGATAGATTTCGAAGCTGACTCACTTACATGGTTGACGAGGTGGTGCTGGCAAATTGGTTGCCCTCTACTTGGGCCTCTCCACAGGACTGCTCCGGTAACCTCAGGACCAGGCGCCTGGCTTCCCCCAGACCAAGGGATCCAAAAGAACAAGAAAGGAGCAGCAATGCCTATTATGACCTAGTCTCAGAAGCCATACATTGTTACTTCCACCACATTCTATTCTTTAGAAGCACGTTATTATGATCAGCCCACATACAAGGAAAGGGTATTGGAATCTATCTTTTTAAAGGAAGACTGTCCAAGAATTTGTGGACATTTTAAAACCACCACAAAATAGAAATATATACATTTTTGTATATTTACTGTGTATCCTGAGACTTTTCTAGATTCATTTATCATTTCTAACAGCTTTTTTGTAGATTTCTTGGGATTTTTCTGCATACATAATCATGCCATCTCTGTGTAACAACAGTTTTACTTCTTCCTTCCCTTGTATGTCTTTATGTGCTTGCGTGATTGCACTGATAAGGCCTCCAGGACAATGTAGACTAGAAGTGGCATGGAAATCCTTGCCTGGTTCCTGATCTTAGGGGAGAAGTATTCAGTCTTTTATCATAAAGTATGATGTTTGTTGTAGGTTTCTGGAGATACTCTTTGTAAGTTTAAAAGGGATTCCCCCTCTTCCTATTTTGTTTAATGTTTTTGTTTAATGCATTTTTGTGAAACTCTCAGCTTCCATTAACATGATCATATGATTTTTCTCCTTTATTAGTGTTAACACATTAAGAGTTCCATTGATTGACTTTCAGATATGAAACCAACTTGGCACTCCTGGGATTTACTCTATTCAGTCATATTATTCTGTTAAGAATTTTTTCATTTACATTCATGAGAGATATTGTCTGCGGTTATTTTTTCTTGTAATAGTTTTGGTATCGTGGTAAGCCTGCCTTTATGATCTGAGTTTGGAATTATGTTTTTCTTCTATGTTTTCTGAAAGAGTTTGTGTTGGACTGGTAATATTTTTTTCCCTTAAATTTTTAATAGAATTCATCAATGAAACCATCTAGACCTGGGGTTTTTTGTTGGAGAGTTTTTAACAATGAGTTCGATTTCTTTTGTTGATAAAGGACTATTCAGGTTTTCTAATTCTTTTGAGCCAGTTTTAAAAGTTTATCTTTCAAAGAACTTGTTCATTCCTTCGAAGTCATCCTGTTTATTGACATAAAGCCATTTATAATATTTTTATGAGTCTTTTAATGTCTGTAGGATCTATAATGAAGTCCCTGTAATCATTTATGATCCTATATCATCTTTTTTGTATTCAGTCTAGCCGAGGCGTGTCAATTTTATTGATATTTTCCAATAACCAGATTTATTTGCATTGTTTGTTCATTTTTCCTCCTCACTGATTTCTGTTCTTATCTTTATCATTTTCTGTTTGATACTTTACACTTGAAATTTTTTTCTAACTTCTTAAGGTAGAATGTTAGATAATTGATTTTTATCTTTCTTCCTTTCTCCTATATGAATTAAATTTATAAAGACTATAAATTTCCTTCTAAACACTCCTTTCGGTGCCTCTGACAAACTTTGGTATGTTTTCATTTTCATTCAGTTGAGAATATTTTATAATTTCTCACATAATGTTTTAATCAATGACTTACTTGGAAGTGTATTGTTTAATTTCCAAAAACTTGGAGACTTTCCACATATCTTTGTGATTTTTGTTTCTGTCCGTGTTTTCTTATTTAATTCTGTTATGAGTAAGCTGTCTTTCCTTCAAGTTGCCCTGGTACCCAATGCATAATTTCTTCAGAGCCGATACTCATAGTCCATATTCATTTATTCCACATTCACCCTGCGCCCCCAGAAGCAGCACATGGCATTGCACATTGTAATCATTGACTAAATATTTATGGAAGCAAAGAAGGAAGAAAGAAGGAAAGAAAGGAAGGAAAAAAAGAACGGGAAGAAAAAAGAAACGGTGGGAGACAGATAGATAATGGATGCTGCACCCCCATGTGGACATGGAAGGAACTGCAAGGGGGACAGAGGCGTAAGCAAAGTAAAGATGAAGGTGGGGGCTGCCTAAGACATCTTCTCTCTAGTACTGTTCTCCCCTTTACACCTTTGATTTGAAAGCAGGAGTCCGAGGTATTCAGGAATTGTTATCGAGGCATTTCATATGCATTCCCAGATGTTCAGCACAAAGGTTGGACCTTGAAGCCACTCCTTTGTGGCCACCCTGATTATACATGACATGAATAGGACCTAACTAATTGGGGTTTTTTTTTTTAAGTTTCTTTATTTTGAGAGAGAGAGAGAGAGAGAGAGAACACAGGAGAGAGGCAGAAAGAGGGAGAGAGAGAAAGAATCCCAAGCAGGCTCTGCACCGACAGCATAGATACAAGGCTCAATCTCACAACTGTGAAATCATGACCTGAGCCGAAATCAAGAGTCAAAGGCTTAGCCAACTGAGCCACCTGGGTATCTCGATTCAGTGTGCTTTTATTTTTATTTAAAATAGTTTATTATCAAGTTGGTTTCCATGTAACACCCAGTGCTCATCCCCACAAGTGCCCTCCTCCATGCCCTTCCCCTCTCCCCTCTCCCCCTTCCCCTCTCCCCTACCCTCATCAGCCCTCAGTTTGTTCTCAGCAGTCAAGAGTCTCTCATGGTTTGCCTCCCTCCCTCTCCCCCACTGTTTTTCCCCTTCTTCTCCCCCACGGTCCTCTGTTAAGTTCCTCCTAATCCTCCTATACGTGCAAACATATGGTATCTGTCATTCTCTGTCTGACTTATTTCGCTCAGCATAACACCCTCAAGGTCCATCCATGTTGCTACACATGGCCAGATTTCATTGTTTCTCATTGCCATGGAGTATTCCATGGTGTAGATAAACCACATCTTCTTGATCCATTCATCAGTTGATGGACACTTAGGTTCAGTGTGATTTTATGTTATGTTATTTTATTTTATTTTATTTTATTTTTTTAAACAATTTTTTTAATGTCTTTATTTTGAGAGACAGAAAGCAAGCAGGGGAGGGGCAGAGAGAGAGGGAGACACAGAATCCGAAGCAGGCTCCAGGCTCTGTGTTGACAGCTCAGACGCGGGGCTCGAACCCACGAACCGTGAGATCATGACCTGAGCCAAAATCAGATGCTTAACCGACTGCGCCACCCAGGCGCCCCAGGTTCAGTGTGATTTTAAATTAAATGGTTAAAACTGAGAAAAATCCAGGAGCTCAAAGGCCCTCCAGGCATACCACGTGAGCGGAGCTCTTCCCTGGAACAAAGCTGGAATCTATTCAAAGTCTTTTAATTGAGGATTCCAGTAATGGTGATTCCTAAGAGGCTGAATCTTCCAGTTTCATTATCAGTAAGTGAGGCTCTCTGGAATACATTCAGTGTGTCTCAGCAAGCCTGCTTGCGTTCCTACTTTGCTTAACGCCCCAGCATCCCATCACCGCCCTCACACACCCCTTAGACCTTAGACTTCAAATTCCCAGGGGAGCTTGCTAAAGAATGCAAATTCTAAAGTGCCATCCATAAAAATTCTTATTCAGCTGGCCTGGGCTGAGGCGTTTGTAACAACCACATCGGGGGATTCTAAAATGCTGGATTCGGGCCCATCCACCGCGACGCTGGGGGTGTTCTGCTGGGCTGTAGCACAGATTTTGCTCAGCCTTTTCTCGTATCAAGTTCAAGTATTTGAAAGGAGGTACACAGGAAGAAGACAGGATAGTCTCAAAGTTCCAAAAAAATGTAGCTACCTCCCTCATAGTCGATAATTTTACTTACTTTCCTAAGTCACAAAATTGCCAACTGAGTGTACTATAATTACTTTTGCTGATTTCATGTTACCTCTTTTATCTCAGATACTTTAGTCATAAGGCTGAAATATATACAATCTGTGAGTTAATATATGCCAAGATTTATGTCTTCTGCCTTTTAAGAAGTAGAATCAAGGGAGAAAAAGAAATAAAAATAGAATGAGGGCACCTATTCCGAAGGACTTGGGATAGATCTCACAGCACTTCATTTCTGTTTTCTTAAGTGCCTTTCTTAATGATGCCTTCACCCAGGCCATACCTGTCCCTCTCCATCTCGCTCAGGAAACTTCCTCCCTTCCATCTTCCTAGAAACTCTACGTTACTTTGCAAGGTTTTCATAAGGTGATGTCTGTCCCCTGCCCCACCTTGTTTAAGCACGCAGCTCCCATGACTCACTTCCTTTTCAGTTGTTTGTATTGCATTTGCTCCATCGTGTGTGTTAAACAGTGTTGTTGGTGTTTGCATGAGTACATACCTGTTCCCATCATATCTGTCAGGCATATGGTACGGTGGAAAAGGCACGTGTTGAAAGTCAATCTTAGACTGATTCCTAAAAATGCTGTTTATTAGCTTGAAAAATGTGCGTATTTTATTTTATTTTTATGTCTTGAGAGAGATAGAGCATGAGCAGGGGAGGATCAGAGAGAGAGGGAGACACAGGATCTGAAGCAGGCTCCAGGCCCCAAGCCGTCAGCACAGAGCCTGTCACGGGGCTCAAACCCACAATCTGAAGACCATGCCCTGAGCCAAAGTCAGGCGCTTTACCAACTGAGCCACCCAGGCGCCCCATAATAGCTGCATATTTTTAAAAAGAGCTCATCGAAGTCCTCTTTTGTGAAGGTCGAATGATGGTATCCATCCTTCTAAAGCAAGGGATTTGGTGTATAGTTAGGTACACAGTCAGTGTTAGTCACAACTATCTTCTCTTTCTTCCTTAGATTTGACAGTTATTTATTGAGCACCTACTATGTGTCAAATCCTCTTCTTGGTGCTGGAGTGAACAAGACAGAAAAGTCCCTGCCCTGATGGAGCTTACATGCTATGGGATAGATGGAAAAGAAAACAGTAAACACGTTAATATAAAGTAAATAAGATAATTCATTATTGAAGAAAAACAGATTTCATTTTGCTGTAGATGATAACAGAATGTTGATTACATATAAAGACAACTTCTTTTTTAAAAAATTTTTTAATGTTTATTTTTGACAGAGAGAGAGAAAGACAGAGTATGAGCGGGGGAGGGGCTGAGACAGAGGGAGACATGGAATCCTAAACAGGCTGTAGGCTCTGAGCTGTCAGCCCAGAGCCCTACACGGGACTCCAGCTCACGAGCCCATGAGAGTACGATGTGAGCCAAAATCAGACACTTAACCGACTGAGCCGCCCAGGCGCCCAAAGCCAACTTCTTTACAGTCACTTTAACCTTTAAGAGGCCTTCCAATCCCTTTCCGTGGACCAGGGCGGTGTGTTCAGACTCCACAGTACCGCCTTCATGTGCTTGAATATACAATATATGAGTCCTCCATTGATCACATTCCTCCTGCAGGATTAGGCAGAAATGTGCTCAATAAATACTTCCTTGATGGAATGATAATCGCTGGAAGATGAAGTGGAGATTGCTTCTCACTAAATGCCATTCTGGAAGGTGGGAAGACTGAGTCCCTTGTGCATCGGGCAAAATCAGTGGCCAAGGGATTCTGTGTCCTGGGATAACAGAGAGCCCCACGGGCTTCCCTTCCTAAGAGCGAGGAAGGAGGAGTCTCCTGCTTCAGGCAGCAACCGTGGAGAAGGATTTCTCTTGGAGCCTCTGAGAGCCGTCGACGGGATCAGAGAGGGCAGTCTGGGCCTGAGCCTTTTGGAAAAGCTCGAGAGGGGGTTCTCATACAGTCTCTGAGCTGGGAATTATTGCATGGTGCCTGGGACGGTCGGTGTGTAATCAACACTTACTGACTGATCGTCACGCTGGCTTAGCGAAGGCGGGCAGCCCAGCTGCGGCTGTGAACTGTCCCTCCTCAAGAAGCAGCTGAGGGCAAAGGCTGACCATGATGCAAAGTTGTTATTTTGTTTTTTCTTAAGAGGGAAAAAAGGGGCGCCTGGGTGGCTTAGTCATTAAGCGTCCGACTTTCGCTTAGGTCATGATCTCGCAGTTCGTGGGTTCGAGCCCCGCGTCGGGCTCTGTGCTGACTGCCAGCTCAGCCTGGAGCCTGTTTCAGTCTGTGACTCCCTCTCTCTCTGACCCTCCCCTGCTCACGCTGTCTCTCTCTCTCCTAGAAATAAATAAAAATATTAAAAAAAAAAAAGGGGGGGGGGAAAGGAAGGAAAAGAGTTCCCACAGTGTCACAGCCACCTGTGTTAAATCAAATGGCAGTAAGACATGTCAAAACAAACTATATTGCGTAGTTGGATTATTATTATTCTTGTATCCGTTTGCTTTTTCTGTGTAAAAAAAAAAAAATAACCTCCAAAACTTTGTGGCTGGAAACATTCTGTGATTACTATTGCTTTGGAGTCCACAGGTCAGTAAGTGGCTCTCTCTGGATACCTCTGCTGGTCACATTCATGCGCCTGTGGTTGTCTGTGGGCGGGGGGCTGGGGGGGGAATGCAGCTCTGCTGACCTTGGAAGAACTCCCTTGCACGTTTGGGGGCTGGCGGGCGGCTAGAACTTGGCCGTCGGTCCTCCTCCACGTGGTCTCTCATCTAGCAGAGTAACAGGGATAGAGGAGAGTGAGCAGAAGTGGGCAAGGTCTCTTGAGGCCAGGACTCAGAATGGGCACATTCTGGTAGCTGAAGCAAGTTCCAAATCCAGCCCAGATCTAGGAGCTGGGGGCACAGACATCTTTTGATGGGCGATGCTACAAAGTCGCGCTGCAGAGAATACGGGCGGAGGGGTGAAGAAATGCAGCCTAGCTGTTTGTACCGTCACGAGCCATACTACTGACGCTGAGTTGTATGTTATTCATGTTCTTGGTCAACGCTGATTCTCCTCTTCTGGAAAAAATGAGTTGTTTGCTCTTCAGAGCTTTGGAGCCGTTAATTAATGCAATATTGGAATGGGCACATTTTAAATGCACCTGACGGGGTAATAAAGGTACATTTTTCTGGGTGGTGCTGAGAAATAGGTCTAAATGGCATCCGAGGGTAGTGGTCACCATTTATTTTTGTGATTCAAGCGAATTTTTTAAGTTCTGAAATTAATTAACTGTCAGGGTTCCCTTTGATTTCTTAATTAAATTCAACAGTAAGCTTACTATGAAATGTTATTTGCAGGTTGACTTTCGAACTTGAGTGTGTCTTCTGATCTCACATAGTGTGCCTTTCAAAACTGCTAATGGCAGATAAAAGCAAGAATATAACTTTCCACTGTCAGAGAACATTTGTCTCTGTTGTCACGTGTCAGGGCTTTGTCCCCGCTCAGCCTGTTCCTTTTTATTTTATCTTAAACTCTCACCTATAGAATTAGCCTTCTGAACTGGAGTTGCGTCGCAGGCCGGTCCATCCTCTTTGTTCCAGAACTCTGGGTGACCTACATTTTCCCATCTTTAATAAAGAGTCTTGCTCTTGAATGAACCACTCTCCTTACTTAGCTGTTAGTGCTACTCACTCACACATATTAAAGGACGCCTGCCCTCTGGTGTCCATAGAGGTCGCTGCAAGGAGCGAAGGCGTGAGTTTATTAGGCCAGGAGTACAACATTCCACCCTGCAGAGGTCCGCTGCCAGAGGGCTCGCCCAAGAATGCCAAGTGCGGGTGTGCGGTTTGAACACTGCAAAATGACCCCAGCTCGAGAGGGGAATGAACGGTCTTTGAAGTTCATCCCACACTTTGCTTGCGGAGCCACATAGCCAATGTCCAGGCTGTACCTTCCAAGAGGAGTTTTGCCCATTAAAATTCATTCGGGCGTGCCGTCCGCTCCTCAGGCGCCTGGAGTGTGCAGCCTTCTGCCATTCACGCAGACTTCTGTATAGGCCCATGGCAGCCTTGTGGAGGTGCATTGTGAGTTGGTTGGACGCCGCTCTCACCCTGTAACTTTTCTACTCAGAAATTTCCGGAAATTAAAATTACTCTGTTAGCGTGGAATGATCACTTAGTCCCAGGTTATCAGAGGAAGGGAATAAGGAACGGAGTGGCTAAATGAGAAGGGCCAGATTTGTTAGTTGTGATGCAGGGGACTAAAATGTAGGCTTTCTGGCTCCCACTGCAGCTCTGAGGGCTTCTCTTTAGCCTCAGGGGATCCCCATTATTTGATTGCACCCTACCTCACCCTATCAGGCCTAAAGCAGAGGCACATCAGCTTGTTTGTTGAGTGAATAAACAAATGACTGTCCAACTATATTTTCTTATTTTTTAAATTTTAATTCCAGTGTAGTTAATATACAGTATCATATTAGTTCCAAGCGTACAATGTAGTGATTCAACAATTCCATCCATTACTCAGGGCTCAGTAAGATTAAGTGTACTCTTTAGTCCCATCACCTATTTTACCCATCGCCCCTCCCCCCCCACCTCTCCTCTGGTAACCATCTATTTGTTACTATTCTATAGTTAAGAGAATGTTTCTTGGTTTGTCTCTCCGCCCTCCCCCCTTGTTCATTTGTTTTGTTTCTTAAACTCCACACATGAGTGAAAGCATATGGTATTTGTTTTTCGTTAGCTGACTTATTTCACTTAGCATAATACACTCTAGCTCTGTCTTTGTTGTTGCAAATGGCTGACATTCTCTTTTGTGGCTGACATTCCATTTTATGTACAGACAACACTTCTTTATCCATTCACCTATTGATGCACATTTGGGCTGCAATAAACGTAGGGTTGTATATGTCCCTTCGAATTAGTGTTTTTGTAGTCTTTGGGTCAATATCCTATAGTGAGATTACTGGATCAGAGGGCAGTTCTGTTGTTAACTTTTTGAAGAACCTCCGTACTGTCTTCCAGAGTGGCTGCACCCGTTTGCATTCCTCCGAACAGTGCGTGAGAGTTTCTTTTTCTCTACACCCTCGCTAACACTTGTTGTTTGTTGTGTTTTTGATTTTAGCCATTCTGACGGGTGTGAGGTGCTATCTCATTATAGTTTTGATTTGCATTTCCCTGATGATGAGTGATATCGAGCATCTTTTCATGTGTCTGTTGGCCATCTGGATGTCTTCTTTGGCCAACTATATTTTCTCATGGTTTTTTTTTTTTGCCTCTGCCGCCCAAAACTTCCACTCTCTTGTGGGAGTTTGAGAAGCACTAGAGGAGCTTTTTACCTTGGTTCCTTCTAATTCTCTCACTGGGGACCTTCTCTGATGTTTCTTCACTGCTGACAATTTGTCCATCACAACCGGTTACTGGTGACAGTATATTCTCTCCCATTGTTCTAGCTGGGCCTGATAGTCTTTGGTTTCTACCACACTTATCAAAGCATAAAGCACCAAACAGCTCTTTAAAAAAGACTTGCAGCTTGACTGATTCTCCTGTATTGCTGCCATCTTTTATAAAAAGCACTGACTGACCCAAGTGTCAAGATCCTATTTTAAAACCATGTTTACTAATGTAAGTGTAGATGTTTTTCCTATTTATAAAACTCCTGTAGACCCACTATGTAAAATTTGGAAAATACAGACACGTAGATAGAGAAGACAGAAGTTATCCGTAATCTTATTATCTAACAAGGAACCCTGTTAATTTCCCTCCATAATGAAAAGTTCTCCAAAATCCTAGTTAGTGGGGATCTATTTCTGTGTATCATTTTGGAAAATTGGAATAGTCTTGATTTAAAATATTTTTATCATTCAAATTATAAAATCAAAAAATATCAGTAGAGAATGTAGGGTCAGGGGTCCGCTGGCACCTTTATAAGCAGTTAAGTGACTGCCACAGAAGCGAGCCCAGACTGGGGGGGGGGGCGGGCTACATCACATCAGGGGTCATAACTGATACTCTTCGCAAAATGCATTGTGTATGCAGAGCTCTGTGCTACTAACGTTGGATTAAACATACCAGGTCTGTGTTTGCTGATTTGTGTGTTTCTCTCCTGCAGGGTTTTTGGAGTCTCTGGATGACTTTTACATCCTTAGCAGTGGTTTGATATTGCTACAGACCACAAATAGTGTGTACAATAAAACCCTATTAAAGCTGGTGGCACCCCAGTCTCTCCTGGCGTGGCAAAGAGTCCGTGTGGCCAATATGATGGCAAATGGTGGTAGACAGTGGGCAGAGATCTTTTCACGCTACAACTCTGGTAAGTGTTGCAACAGAATAGCTTTTAGGCAGGTACATCTGTTTAGATTTTGAGTTAACCAGCAGAGCCATACCCACATCCTGCTTCGTGTCTCCCAATATTTCAGGCACCTATAACAATCAGTACATGGTCCTGGACCTGAAGAAGATAAAGGTGAAGTACAGCCTTGACAATGGCACTCTGTACATTGTGGAGCAAATTCCTACATATGTAGAATATTCTGACCAAACTAATGTTCTACGGAAAGGTACTTTCTTCATGCTGCAAGTCTGGAAGTCTGCTGAGTATGTGTGTGTTCATGTATATGGTGGGCAATGTGTGGTGCGTGAATGTATGATGGTGGGGTGTGGGGGGGGGGTCTATGGTGGGGAGGAAGGGATGGGAATGCTATTGCTAGTTACGCTGGGAAAGAATCGCCAGGTTCAGCACAGCATGTAAAATCTGCACCTCAGACTCATTATGACATTGTATAGATTGTGAGATAGCCAGGCATTTAGTTTTTAATGTTTGTTTGAGAGAGAGAGACAGAGACAGAGACAGAGACAGAGAGAGCAAGTAAGAGCATGAGGGGGGCAGGAACAGAGAAGGGCAGAGGAGAGAGAGAATCGCAAGCAGGCTCCACACTGTCAGTGCATCGAGCCCGATGTGGGGCTCGATCTCACAACTGTGAGACCATGACCTGAGCTGAATCAAGAGTCAGAAGCACAACTGACTGAGCCACCCAGGCGCCCCCAAAGCCAAGCATTTATGATCTTATGACATCTCGTAGCTCTAATATTACCTTCTCCTCTTGGTTCCTGAGTAAAGCTTTTAGTCAAATGCAGCAGATATTTATAGAAGTGCCACCTTGGCCCAGGGACTGGAAACAATGGGAGTTTTTGGAAAGGGAGAATAGACTAGAAGTCAGAGGGAAGGTAGGAGCCAAGTTAGGAAACTGTTGGAGTCGATCACCTGATAGGTGAGTAGGAACGGAACCAAGGTGAGGCATGGGCCCTGGAAATCAGGGCCCGGTCCTCAGGCTCCCAGATCCCCAGAGATTTTGTAACGACATCCAGGGTGAGTCATCTCGGCAGGAAAGGCTCACATGAGCTACATGCTCGTAATCTGCATAACATGGTTAATGGAGGTGGAAAGTTCACTTGCCAAGCAGATCAGATACCACCAAGTAGCAGGCCTACCTCCTTTGCTGAAGGAAAACTCACCTGAGAATTCAAATCATTAGACAGTCACTTGGGTAGGATGGCAGTTCATAACTGAGAAGTCAGCTCTCTGACTCTGAAGCCTGGGCCAACCAGCTGGGAAGAGCCTGATGAAACTAGGCTGCCGCCAGAGGGAGGAGAGGCATGTTAACGGGGCCAGATCATTCAAGACCTTTTCTTCCTTGGACTGCTGCTCATTATAGAATCGCAGATGCGGGTTCTTTGCAATGTGGTTCCTGGATCCCATGAAGAAACCTATCCTGGGACTAAAATAGAAGCTGATGCCAATGTTTGTAGTTGTTTGGCCAGAGGTGGGAAGAACAGAGTTAAATTCATTGTCTACCATATACTAGGCAGCCCCTTCTGGGCCTTTTACTTATGTTCTTTTGTTTGATCTTCATTAACATACTTCCAGATTAAGAGCATTGTTACCATTTTACTGTAAGGAAAGAAAGGTTCAGAAAGAAACATGTGATTTGCTCAAATAATTGATATCATATAGTCATTACGATAAAAGACAAAAAGTCCCATGAACCTCCTACAATTTTCTTTTCCTTTCCTTTCTTTTTTTAAAAGTTCATTTATTTTTGAGAGAAGGAGGGAGGGGGAGAAAGAGAGAGAGAGAGAGAGAACGAGCAGGGGAGGGGAAAAGAGAGAGAGAATCCAAGCAGGCTCTGTAATCAGCACAGAGCCTCATGTGGGGCTCGAACCCATGAACCATGAGATCATGACCTGAGCCAAAATCAAGAGTCAGGCACTTAACCAATGGGGCCCCCCAGACCCCTAGACATCCTAGAATTTGGAAGCAGCTGTGGTATATTGACAGAAGCCCTTGGTCAGAAGGGAGGTATTGGTCATCTCTGAAGCTCTATTTCTTCCTTTATAAGGAGGGATGGTAATGCTTATACATCACTGTTCACATTTTACAGATGAAGAAACTGAAGCACAGAGAATTGGAATAATTTGTCTAAGGTCACATACCTAAAGATGGGCAGAACCAAGCTTCAGATCCACGCAGTCTAACTCCTAAGTCTGGATATAGCCTAGATATACTAGTTATAAACATGATTTTAGCCTGTCACTTCAATGTCTTTATCCCAGTTCTTCCTGATGCTGGTCTGTGTCCCAGAATCAGCACCGTTGAATGTCTTGTCATTTTTTTTAATCAGTAACCTCACCCTTGAGTAGGGGATCCTGTAAAACAGGAGAAAGGCAAACAAACGCCAAGACAATATGAGAGTGAGAAATCAGCCCCTGGGGGCGCCTGGGTGGCTTAGTCGGTTAAGCGTCCGACTTTCCGACTTTCGCTTAGGTCATGATCTCACGGTTCGTGGGTTCGAGCCCCGCGTCGGGCTCTGTGCTGACTGCCAGCTCAGAGCCTGGAGCCCGTTTCAGAGTCTGTGACTCCCTCTCTCTCTGACCCTCCCCTGCTCACGCGGTCTCTCTCTCTCTCTCTCCTAGAAATAAATAAAACATTAAAAAAAAAAAGAAAAGAAAAGAAATCAGCCCCTGAATAGACAGTAAGTAGCGCAGACCATCGGAATCTGGGATGTTCCTGAAATATTGATCGGACCAGAGCTGTCTCACATGTTTGATGCTTAGTGACTAGTGGGCTCTGCGGCCTTGGCACGTTATGAAGCTTTGACTGAAGCGAAGCCTTAGCAAATGCTTACAAGGAAGTTAAAGCCCGCGGGAACTTTAAAGATCATCTCCGGTCTCTTCAAACTATGGATTCTTCCTTTCCCTCTCCTTGTTAGAAAAGAAAATAAAGCGAGGTTAATTGCCTAAGACCTAGTGAGTCAGCCCAGAGCCTCGATTTCAGGTTTTCTCTTCTAGGTTCTGTGTTCTTCCACTACCCCGTGGGTAGCATCTGGCCGGTTCCCTGGTAGACCACGCTGTGAAGCCATCTTTTGGCATTTCAGTAACTAAGTTCAACCAACCTGAACCAACTCCCCAGACCCCTCGGTGTGATGCTTCATTTTCCTCTAGAGATAATACGGTTATTTTCCGGTTAATAGATTGCTTTAAGAATTTAGGGTGAAAAACAAAGAACTCTGATGCTCTCCTTTCCCGAACGGAATAATCTAGAGGTATGCTGATTCTGTCAACTTAAAAGGATGCAGCGTGAGGGTCAGTGTTCACATTCAAAGCTTAATTTTCTGTGTAATGTCATTTTGTAATCACACACCTGTGCCAATTTTCAAAAGAAACTGTCATTAATAACATCGATTTTGTTCCGTCTCTCTTTTCTGTCTGTCTCCCTGTCAATCTCTCCCTCGCTTCTTTTCCGTCCCAAACCAGGATACTGGCCTTCCTACAACATTCCTTTCCACGAAAAAATCTACAGCTGGAGTGGCTATCCGATGTTAGTTCAGAAGCTGGGTTTGGAGTACTCCTATGATATGGCTTCACGAGCCAAAATCTTCCGGCGTGACCAAGGGAAAGTGACCGATATGGCATCCATGAAATATATCATGCGATACAACAGTACGTAGCACATTTCTCAAGGATCATTCTTCAAAACTCCTTTCCTTCCCAAGGCGTAAGAATCCATGTAAGTTTCCCCGTATATAGAATCCATCTCTCTGTACTAGAAGGAATTATAAAAAGTTAAGTATTTAGTATTCAGTCAAGAACATACATATTTTATTCTCAATAGGGTTTTGTCCAGTTTTATAAAATGACAGGGAAGAAGATCCTACATGTTTTTTTAACTGAAAAAAAAAAACAAAAAACCACGTCAAACACAGAATAACTCACATAGCGTACTTTCTTTTTACCGCTCCTCCTCAACCCTAATACAGGTTTTCTTCCAAGGAAAAAAGCAGCTAACAAAACAAAAATTACTCATGAATACTTTATTTTTGACAAACAGTATCCACTTCGAATTTATTTTTGTAGAAAAACACTGATGCACATTTCTCCTTTAATACTTCTCTTCCATCCTCTCTTCACTGTGCAAGCTTCTTGAGAGCGGGCTGGGTCAAAGAGGCCACTGGGATATACTCTCTGATCATCTACATGCTTCGGCAGGTCCACAGAGCTTACTGTGGGTAGGTGTGTCTCTGAATAGCCAGTACCACCCTCTCCCCATCACTGTTTTCTAGATTATAAGAAGGACCCTTACAGTAAGGGCGATCCCTGCAACACCATCTGCTGCCGTGAGGACCTGAACTCACTTGACCCAAGTCCTGGAGGTTGCTATGACACGAAGGTAACATGCTTATTGGCTTTTAAATTTAATTTTTACCAGCACCTAAACCTATTCGCAGGCAAAGCTGCAGAGATTTCTGGGGCATAAAGCACAGTATCGTCTCGTCTCTGACCATAATGTCAGTTCAGGAGTCAGCTTTTTCAGAGATTCTGATAGCAGGTCCCTTTGCCTAACTTCGAGGCCCTGGTCTGCCTCGTAATAGTAAATAATCCTACAATCTTGGAATGCTTGTTTCCTTATCTGGAACATGGACATAATAATAATACTTGCCTCATAGGGTTGTTGTGAAGAGGAAACATTTAGTATCTATTCGATGTTTAGATTACTTATGGGTTATTTTTTTAATTAAAAAACATTTTTTAAATGTTTATTTCTGAGAGAGAGCACAGTTGGGAGAGGGGCAGAGACAGAGGGACACACAGAATCTGAAGCAGCCTCCAGGCTCTGAGCTGTCAGCACAGAGCCTTGACACGGGGCTTGAACTCACGAACTATGAGATCATGACCTGAGTTGAAGTCAGATGCTTAACAGGCTGAGCCACCCAGGCGCCCCCTTAGTGGGTTAAATGTACACCATCAGGACGATGGTAGTGATGGTGATAATTGTTGAATGTCTAAAGTTTTACCAGACTAGTCCAAAGCCCAAAGAACCTAGTATTAGGAGCAGTGTGACTTCATATTAAACAGGAATTGAATTTAACTGAAGGAACAAGTATTGGACCAGATGTCTAAAGCACTAAAGGATTTTCACCATCTTATAATTATTAAGTGCTGTAATATGTCTCGAATATAGGCAGAAATAGCTATTACTTATTTGCAGTGGTGGGCGGAAGCCAGCTCATATGGGCTTGTAAGAACCAATTGTCAAAATCAGTTGACATCATGTGGATAGCTTGAAGTCAGCCACGGGGGAGTACTTACACCATGGAAATCAGCAAACACTACACATCAGGGTCTTTTTTTCCTTAGAGGGCCCACTACTGGATTTGGGGTGTCCGAGGGTATGAGTTAGCCATTTAGTTGGTGGAGAGAATCATTTCACCACATCGTTTTGCACTCCTGGGCATACGTTCTTTTGTTTGCTCTTCCGTCCCTAACTTCTGGAAGAAATAAATCTGTTAGAAGCGGAGTTAACTGTTCAGAATGCCAATGCCTCCTACACATAATTTTTTCTAGCAGCCTAATGCCTAAACAGAAGATGCTGTGGAGTTGTCTCATTCTTACTTTTTAGCTACAGGATGATAGTAAAGCTCTAGCCTTAATGATGCGTAAAGTAAAAAAAAAAAAAAATTAGTGGATGTAAAGAGCCTGGCACACGAAACCCCGGTGAATGTTTCTTTCTTTTAAATGGTATTTGCAAACATTCAGTAAAGCGTGCAAGCAGTGTTCTAGCCATTCCTAAATACACAAAGAGAATCACCCCTGCCGCCTTGCCTGAGCGAACCCAGGCCACACCTCCATCTGCCAAATGTTACTTTCTTCTGGAGAGAAGTCTGCCAACTTTTCATCAGAAGAGTTTCTGCTGAAGGACATACTTAATTTCTTAGCATTTTTTTCCTGAGCCGTTTTGGATATGTGGAAAACCAGAAGTGAGGAGACCTGTTTTCCTTTTCCTCTAAGGTGACGACCTGGTGCTATCCAATGTTTAGGTGCTTTGGAGAACCACAGACCTCATATTTTGATAAGAGTTCCTTCTACTTTAAAACTCTTGCTACTGACCTAATAACAACTTGTATTGAAGCATATATTCTGCTTTATATAAACTGCTCCAAGTACTTGTTCTCATTACTCCTCCCAACAACTCCTCCAAGAAATAGGGTCATTACCCTTTTGCAAATAAGAAAACAGAGCCATATAGTGGTCAAGTTATGTTAAAGTAAGTTTTGGGGCTTGAATTCTGAATAGGAGCACTTTTGACTCCAGACCTCCCACTTTGGGCTACGTTACCTTAACGCACTTGTACCCAATTCACATCAGAATGCCAAATGGTTATGGAAGAGCATATTATGGGAGCCTGCAAGATTTTGTTTTAAAGGGGGGCTAATATTATGACTTTGGAAAAAAGGACAAAAAAAAAAAAAACCCGTAAGAAACAACAGGGATTTAGTGAAGTTTTTTTCCAAATGGTTTTGTCTAAAATGTCCTTCTCTTTTCCCTTTCCAGGTGGCAGATATCTTCCTTGCGTCACAGTACACAGCCCATGCCATTAGTGGTCCCACAGTACAAGATGGCCTCCCTGTTTTTCACTGGAACCGTTTCAACAAAACTCTCCACCAGGGCATGCCAGAGACCTACAACTTTGATTTTGTTATCATGAAACCAATTTTGAAACAGGACATAAAATGAAGGAGGGACCTGAGGGAATAGAAGGTTGCATAAAAAATTCCAAAGGCACTATTTTAGCTATGTTTTTTCCATTCAGAATTAATCTTAATAAAATATATTAAATTCAGTGTGTCATTTTCGTTTTCTACTATTGATTTTGACAGTTTCTGACAACAAACGTTCACTATAGGGTGGCACAGCAGAGAAGAAATCTAGAAGATAGCAAAAACTGGCTTCAGCATGCAAGCTTGTATACCAGATGGTGTGGCACTCTCCTTTTATGCCTAGCCACATGGACCGCATCTCCCGGGTCCCCTAGATTGCTGTGCCATGCGCCAGGACTCTTGCCAAGGGAATCTAAAAGTAGAGCCACCTCCAGGCTTGGCCCCTCGAGGCCTACACTGTGCCACGCCCCTTCTCCTTCCCCTGGCTGGATGTACTTAATGACAGAGCCCTAGGGGATGGGTGGAACTGCATTTTCAAAGGAACCTCTAGTAGAAATGCAGTTAATGATTTTTTGATTTTTCTGATCATTAATAAGCACCAGCTGAGCCTCCATGGCGCAGGCTAGGCACACAAGAAGACCTTAACGTTGTCTCCCATTAGTTAAAAGCGGCGTATCTAATCTGGGAGCAAAACTCCTTACAGAATGGTTTTCCTTTCAAAGCTAGAGAACTGTATGTGGTCTGAGTGCTGAAATATTGCCAAGTAGGTTAAATAAACAATATTACACAGTATAACGGGTGATTCTTAACAAGGTGAGAGACTTCCGAAAGCAACACAAGGGCTGAGAATAATTAGAATGAATCAGAATACTCAGAATGTTAAAAACCCAGTAGTTTATTTCAAAGTATAAATGTCAGGCTTGCTGGACAAAATCCCACTACAGTTAACACTTATACAGACACCACTCTACTGTACATTTAAAAAAGAAAAAAAAAACCCCACAAAAACCTTCAAACCTAATAAAAATAGGGCAACTTGCCATAGCCCAGTTTATATTAGACATTAGGAAGGTCTTACATTGTCTTACTATTTACACTTTCAACTGCAGTAAAGAAAAATCAGGATGCAAGTTTCCTACAAAAGGTTTATTTTTATATTTAATTTTGAAATGACTGAGAAAATAATAAAAGCCAGGATCCCCCAAAGGTGTTTGATTGCCCAGTTACCTTATGTACAAAAACTAAAAAAAAAAACACAAAAACAACCCCCCCTCCTCAGCATTTAAACATAAATGATGGGTACTTATCAGATGGCTGACTCTACAAATTAAAAAAAAAATTATGTAGCATGATAAAACTATTTGAAGAAGGGAAGATAATACATGTGTTTCATCATCCTCTCCTCCCCACCGGCTGGCTCAAGGGGAATACGTTGTAGGCATTAGATCCAAGTCTGTCACACTAATGAAACACCTCGAGACTGTTCTTTTTGTTTGTCCAAAAATTTTAAGGAGTAGGAGAGAGGCATCACTCACCCAGTAAATAGTAAGGAAGGCAGAATCATACATTGGTTTTAGATACAGTTATTTCCAACAATACAAATTTTCAGCATGGTTTTTTTCCTGGAAATTAGAATAAAACAGTCCAATGACTGGTTAATGATTAAATTAAAATAACAAGTAAATCATGAGATACTGAAAGAGCCCAAGAAGGAAAGCTGGAGAAAGACACTCGGAAGGTCTTTTCAGTACTCTACTGTGCTAAAATCACAGTATATCAAAGTAAGAGAAGAAGATACCACAAGCATTATTTTGTTAATCTTGAACAGTACTGGAAAATTTGTGGAACAAGATAAATACCTATCATGCAATATTAACATTCACCTTGCTGCATAAATGATAATTTGGAAGATGTAAGCAAAAGAGCAAATGACAAAAACTAAGTCAACACTTTTCCAATACAGTAAGGGAACTGTATAGGGCAGCCTGCCTAGGGAATTTGCAGACAGAGGTACCAATGATTATACGCTCCTTGCTTTAGGTCACGTTTTTCATTTAAATCTTTCATTTATTATCCAGCAATGGGGGTAGGTGAGCAGGGAACACTCTCTGTGAGGCAAATGGCATCCCAATAAGTACTCACTTTTCAAGGAAGAAAGCTGTTATGTCCTGACTTCTCTCATAAACGTCTACCGTGTTAAACAGTATTCTGCCTATTTTAAAGTGAGTCCAAAGAAACCGGGATATAGTTACCTCATAAAGTTAACAGTTAACAACAGATGTTGTCTTTGTAATTTATAATTTACTGGCAAGATCATAATTTTTAAGAGAGGCTTACACTTAAAACAGGCTGAAAATTACTCTGACAAAGCACAAAACAGAAAGTAACAAACGTCACTGTTACCTTTTAAATGCCATATAACACCCTACATTTCAGGTCAATATATCAGAAGTTTTCAGGATTTCCAATAAGGCAATACTTAGACAAACATTGTCCAGCTAAAAATGTAGCAAACCTGCATTCCCAAAATGGGACAATCAAACTTACTTGTAATACTTTGTGAAAAGGTACCATGAAATAAAAAAGGTACCATGGAGTGTGAATTGCTACAGTATAGTCTGTAATCAGTAGCTGTTTCTAGTTGAGCCCTCCATTCTCTCTCCCAAAAGAAATGAACCAAACAGAAAGCTCATCAAACATTAAAACTTGCCCCAAATAAAAGCCGACAGTGCTAAGCCTAGCATTTTAAAGTAAATTCAATATAGATGTTGCCTATAAATCCCATGGCATGTGAATTTGAGGAAAGCATCTCACAATATATGCTTTCTTCAAATAATTACAGTCTCTCTTTGTACCTTCCTTCCACCTTCTGGACTACAAAGTTTTATTTTGCTGCAGTAAATGTATTTGTAGCATTACTATTTGGTAATTTATTATTCTTTTCTTTGACAGAAAACACACAATATAGGCTAAAATATTTTCATTCTACTGGGCTTTCTTCACCTGACTACATAATGCTATGAAAGCCTTAAAAAAAATTAGTGACTATAAATAAAAACATTCACCAAGGGAAGCTTTTCTAGGCTAGGGCAAATTGTCATCACATGACCATAAAACCGGCCAATAAAGAACAATTCTGAACATGGGCCTTCCATTCTGCAGATAGGAATGATCTTGATCACACAGTCAACAATGCAACCATTGCAGGTAAAAACATATATACACAAAGATATAGACAGGTGTTCATACACATCTAGAAGATCATCAAATTCTCTCTCAGAATTTTCATTGGCATGACATTGGCAGCTTCTTTACCATCATCAGTCCTAGAATGAGTAACATCTACATGGTTGGCAAATCTGATTGATGAAAACGTTAATTCTCACTGTGGTCTCCTTTTCTGAAAGTGAAAGGAAGGTTTTGGAACATTTACATTTTGGCAATCTGTAGGCTTTCTTCAGCATCAAACTTCACACCTAGTGTGACAGTATACTGACCGGTGAAAGTCTCTAATCAGACTTTTACAACTAGAATTCTTCCCATTACAAGCCACCAGAGTTGCAAACAAAGCAGCATTAACAGAAGGAATAGCTCCCTCCCATAATTCCAGGAAAGACTAAAGACGAATTTATTTTGAGACGGTAGGAATTTAAATAAGGTAAGGGAAGATGACTTGAAAAACCAGTTCACAAGCTCCATGAATTCCTTTCAAACTATTCCCAAGCATTCTCTCTCATCCCCACACTGACCCCATTTCTCCTGCCCTAAACTATCTACCCCCAAACATCTACCTGATACCAGGAGAGCTGGCACTCATATTGAAAGTCCAGGACCTAAAAGGAATCTGATTAACTTTGAACAGGAACAGAGACACACAGAAAGTAATACCTAATTGTTAAATAAAATAACCCCAAATCCTATCCAAAGCTGACGGAAGGTAAATCAGAAAAAACTTGGCACCATCAAAACAACGTTAAAAGGTTAAAACAGAAAGAATGATATGACAACAATAAGGAAATAAAGCTTTCCCTTTGATGTTTTAGTTCACTGTACTTTGTGAATTTTACCCTTTACTAGCTTTGAAAGAATTCTGTGCTTTGAGTGATAGAGAACTAACACTGCTTTCATAATCTCTAACAATATGCAACATAAATTCAAAAATATGTTAGAAGAACAATTTTCTTACATAATACGGTCTTTCTTGGTCCATTTTACACAGTTAATTTAAAGAATGACCAAAGATAAAAGCACTTACATTCTTAGAAGAAAAGAGCAAGTCAAATTTGGGGAGTTAGATGTAGTGATGCCACTGATAAGAATATATCTAAAAGCCTTGGTTTAAAACCGACTTGAGGGGAGTGTGCTGTATTTAGGGGAGATGAAGGAGAATCGAAGGGTGAAAGCCTGAAAGAGAGGATCAACAATGGACAAATGGTCATGTTTATTTTTGTAGTTATCCTAAGGCACAAAATAAATGTAAGAGCCAGATTAGGAAAGAGAGGGGCCACTGCAGATCTTTTTCACCTAATTAACAACGAAGAAAAGAAAGAAGACAAACAGATCCTTTCCCGTGTTCAAATTAACGTATTTTAAACTATTTAACCATTTTGCCTTTTCTTTCTTTCTTTGGGTTTTGTTTAGCTTCAGTTTAAATCATTTAACCATGAACCTACAGATCCCATAGAAGTATAATCATGCCAGTTACATACCATACTTCTGATCCCTTGATCTATTTACTTTATACTTGAAGAGAGGTAAAACTGAGAATGGAAATGGGAGATTCCACCGCAGTAAACATATAAATAGGGAAAAACACACATAAACACCCACACATATTCCCCAGCCTTAAAACTAAAGCAAGGTGCACATTTACATTTCAAAACCTTTAAGCTTCAATTGTCCAGGAAGATTCTTGCTTTATGGGCTGTTTATTTTACTTCTGATTATAAACAAATGTAGTGTATATACACAGCTGTCCAAGAAATCTTGCACAACGTGGATTTTACAATGGATATCATGCACAAGATTAAAACAAGACCAAAAAGTGGAACTTGGAAAGAGGAAGAGATAGAGGCTCCAAGGTTTAACTGCTCTGGGAAGAAGAGATCACATCTGTTGACTGAGGGTCACAGAAAGGTCCAAAACGTCCATAAATATCCTTGGCTCGTACTGCAAAGTAGTATTTGCTGC